GTATCCTGTGGCAATGCTCTTGACGGCCACGGGACTCACGAGATTTACACAGGGAGCTGAAGGGAAGGTAAATAACAGCTTGCTGTTGGCCCCCCAGGCTTGTAATGGGCCCGGCAGTCCTGGTATGTATTATCGGCAATATATCGGTATCTATATTGCCCGATCCCGATATTGCCAAAAATACTGAATATCGTCAAAACCGATAATCGCTCGATCCCTACAGACAACACATAGTTCTAGGAGTACAAGCTAGAATCAGTTTATTGGCAGCCACAACTGGCCTTATATGCAGGTCCCCATGCAAGGGGCACTCCCCCTGGACCTGAGAGTAGACTACAGTAAAAACACACACACGATTATATCGGCTATCAGGTCCAGGACACTCCCGTACAAAAGATAATCCCTCCCGTGTACCTGGGAGATAATTGAGTAGAGCACTGTATTAAACTCCATTATCTCTGGGCAAAAAACAAAACAAAAAAAAAAAAACCATTTCCTAAATACCCCAAAAGTACCTTAAAAATACATAAAGCCCCACAAATGTTACATCCCCTGATAGCCCTGATCTAGGTTACCATCATATCCAAAAATCACCCAGATTGGTTCAGTAATTTCCTGTAAGTCATAATTTGACCGACCGCACGCATGGTCCCATGACAAAAACCGTTCCAGAGAATCAGGGCTTGCAGTCAGTGTAGTTCGGTAGTTCAAAACCGAACATAGTCAATAGTCTTACCCCTTGTCTGATCCCCTTGTTCGTGTGAATGTTCCCACCGAACAGGGTCTTTCTAAGTGTTGTAGAACCGAACACAGGAAGTCCGGCGGTGTTTGGGAGTTTCAGTGTCCAAAAATAGTTCCATGAACTTGACGACCAAACACTGCTGCCTGTGTTTATGTGAACAAGATGGCCGCCACCTCGTGGTCGTCCATAGGAATTGCGGCCACCCAACGAACACTGCGGTGGAAATTGCTACAAAGTATCAATTAGGCTTAACAAGCTCCAGGGTGGTCTCCGGTTCCCAAACCATTTAGTCCAAATACACGAACAGAGACTTTTACATCACATTTTACAGGGTCCATAGTCTGTGGGCAGGAGGCAGGAAAGCAGGCTCCTACAGGAACTTGTGGCAAACTCACTTGGAAATGGGAGTTTGTCACAAGTATCTACATAACATATTAAAGAATGGGAAGGGAATTCTTGACAGTCGTGTCCTTTAAAGGGGATTATTAGGCTGTAATAAATGTGCGAGCCACTACAAATTGTTAAAATCTTGTAAGGAATTTACAGCTTCTAAAATTGCAGTCATACAAAAGAGATTATAGTCTTAAAGCCAATTGACTGAGCAGTAAAAAGACAGCTAAAAAAAAAAAAAAAAAAGTGTCCCTTTACTGAAAGGAAAACAAATACATATAGTGATTAGGGAAAGAGAATATTACTCATCTAAGGCACATTTTCCCCCAGTGACAGCCATTTATCACTTGATAGTATTGAATATTAAAAAATATTTATCTTTTTATAGGTGTGAAAAAAATACAATGTATGCAAGTTTTGAGAAGTAATGCTAGTTTGCAATTACCCACGAGGCAATTACAACATGTCACTGTGCAGTTTCTTAATTACAGTGTATTGCATCAAGTAGTAAAAAAAAAACACAACACACCCATACAAGAGGAAATTCTATGATCTTGTTCTGTCCTGGAAGAGCAGATTACTCTATTAGAATACCAAACCCCCTTCTGGTTGGCAGAGAGAGGTGGGATTATATTCTGGAGACATTTTGACACTATTCTGCCCTAGGATTTGCCATAGTAGGTGTCCTTGCAATATGTAAATTAGATGGAAATGAGAATAAGGCATGCATGTTAAACACAGCCATGCAAACCAGGAGTGGCAATGTATATAGACCCCCTCCAGCTGCTGCATAACTACTACTCCCGTCATGCTGCCTTGGTCATGGGGATGGCAAGGCATTATGGGAATTGTAGTTTAAAAAAAACAACTTGATGTTCACCTTCTGAAATAAAACTGAGACATAAAAGCGGTCCTGATACACTGAGAATAGCAGAGACCACATGTCCCAGGTCAGGGTGTCTCTGTTAACACGCTCCCTGCCAGCTGCCACCCTGGGCCTGTGCTATCAGAGCCCATGTTGGTGAAGGATGGGCAGGGTACCTACCTTCTGCACGGTCCTCACGTTGTCCTCCCCGAACACACTGCTCATGGTCTGGTAGAAGCCGGTGGCTGCCTTGCGGAAGGAGTTGTTCTGCTTGTCGTGGGCCCGGTTCCTGGTGGCCTGGACGCCGAGGGCCCCCGCCAGCAGCAGGAGTATGATTATAAAGCATGGCAGTGCTGGGCGGCGGGGATCCATGGATACAGAGTGTCCGAGCTCAGGGGAGAGCAGCCCTGGGCACACAGTCAGTGGACGGGGGAGGACTTCCCGCACCGAGACAGGCCTGGGACGTCACCCAGATCACGTGTGGGTGGGATGGAGGAGGGCGGGAGAATTAAATGGTGGAGTCATTATTGATAGGTTTATATCCACATTACTGGCCGGGTATGGCAGTATAGTGTTACTCTATCAATGTGGATAATGATTTGTTTCCTACATGTATTGTAACTAATCCTCAATCAGGGCTGGGGCTGCTATATAAGGCAGTAAAACCAGCCTCCTTATAGCACACCAGCAGCCAGGGCTACACAGTGCATGGTAGACTGCCCCCACCCTTCACAATAACAATTATCTGACTTTCTCACTGAATGATGGACTGGGAGGACTGATAATAATATACACCACTGGCTGGTGCAGACCATGCACTCCAACCACCAGGGAGTCCTTAAAAGGACATTCCAATATCACACCCCCAAAAATATATATATATAATCAGAGTTTAGTAGATATACTCCAATGAAAACTTGCATGCATTTTATTCATTTTGGGTATATTTGCAAACCGTTTGCAAATCCTGCAGATCTCTTGTCTGCAGCCTGTGAAAGCCCTCCCCTTCTAACCCCACCAATACTTTTTTTGTGGCTGTCCAATCACAGACTTCCTAATGCAGCTCAATGTGAAGTCTTTGCAAGGCACGTGCTCTAGGACAATTGCTTGCGTATTGAGTTTAGCTCCACTGAGCTAACCAAACCAGGAAGTAATAAGACCTGTTGCCTGATTGACAGCCAGGGAGATGTAACCAGGTTAATTTATATAAATGCCAATTTCTATTCAAATCTACACTTTTTGTAAAATGAAAAAAGAGGGCAAATAAAACACTTCTGCCAACTAAAGTGCTTTAGGGGTCTTGAGTGTTCCTTTAAGGCATGTGGACTACCACTGATTTATTATTATCCCCGACTGTACCACCAGTAAATCATTATCCCACTGGCAAAGCTAGACATTTTTTCACAGAGACTCAGTTGATCACCCCTTATTTTTTTCTTTGAAATGCAGGAAGTCGGTGAATGCTGGGATCAGTGAGATCCAAGAATGTACCCACCTGCTGGCTGCCACCGCAGCTTCTAATTAGATTGTATTGCGTGTAAGGGAGGCTACTTGTGAGCTTTGTGTGTTGTGTTTATGGAGAGGTTGTGTTTCATATTTGGGAGTTCACTGTGTATGATGATCACTATCTTCAGGAGGTGACTGTGATAGGGTGATTAGGGGGGTGACTTGGGGGTTAAGTGTAACAAGGTGAGGGGTTTGAGTGTGACAGGGTTTGTGGGTATGTGTGACAGAGTGAGGGGGGTGAATATGAGAGTTGAGAGGTGGGTGAGTTTGACAGGGTGATGTTGGTGAGTGTGGCAAGGTGGTGAGACAAGGTTTGAGGAATTAGCATGACAAGGTGTGTGACATAGATAGGGATGGTGAGCAACTGTGACAAGGTCGTGGGTGTGACAGGTTTTGGGAAGGTGAGTCTGATAAGGGTAAAGTCAGTATATAGCGAGGCATTTAATTTTTTTTTTTTTTAAATATATATATATATAGCATGTGCTCCCCTCCTGCCTTCCTCCTATGCAGGAAGGGGGCGTGGGGCAATAATTAATCTCCTGTTGGCCCCGTGGTGTCCTTGGTAGTCCAATGAACACTATAGGCACCATAACCATTACAGCTTCCTTGTACAGCAATCAGTATACATATATAGAGAGAGAGAGGAAGAGAGGAAAACTCTTGAAAGCTAATCTTTGAAATATTATGTTAGTCCAATAAAAAAGTTATCATTGCATACTGCAATACTCTGGTATTTTGGCATCTTGTCTACTGGACTAATACGGCTAATCTAATCTACACTATATATATATATATATATATATATATATATATATATATATATATATAGTGTAGATTATATATATATATATATATATATTATACACACTACTTAATAACTGTGCCCCCTTTAAAAAAATAATAATAATAATTTAAAAGGCCATACAATTAACCTGCAATCCAGCACCAAAACAAACTCTTCAGTGCAACTTAGTCACCTTGCTTGTCAAGACTGATAGATCTTGTCAAAATGCTTCTCATAGCAAAGCATTGTGTATGTATGGCGGATGTACAACAATCCCTGTGACCCGTTAATTAATGCTTATCCATAAAAAAAAAAATCATTAAATAAAATGTACTCAGCTCTGAATGTTAAAGCTGAATGTAAAATAGATTCAATAATTGAATCTGTTTTGGAAGCCCATGTGGCTCTCTGTCTGGCAACTACTAGTAGGCAGAACCTACAAAGTGGTAAACAGTGCCATTTGAATTCTGATAAATAGCACCATGTTCATTTGAAATGTCCCAAAATCACTTTTATTTTAATGAAGAGCTTTCTATGCTTATATTGCCCCCATTTAAGTCCATATTTATTGGTTCCTACAACATGTATGTGTTGCAACAGGGTTTACACATTGTATACATTTCAACCTGTGATACAGAGTCATATAAGAGTTTGACTGTCCTATTTAGCTAGATAGAGAACTAGCTCTGTCACTGTCTAACACATTCCAGTTGATATGATTATCCAGTCCTCAACTCGCAGACTACGGTATCGGCCATTTTAGCGGAGACCATGTACATGTGAATTGCTATAGCAGTCTCCACTAGCATGGGGTCCATGAGTCTGTTTCGTTAATGACGTCACTTCCACCATTTCATTTCCGGTTCAAGGGCAGCGTGTGTGCCTGTGTGCTCCATGCTGGGAAGGATAGTTTAATATAAGCAAAGGCTGCTGGGTCAGTATGGCGTTTTCCAACATATTTAACACCTTATTTTATAGACTATTATTTGTTGTTGGAAACTCCAAGGCACTCAATTCCTAAACACAGTAGTTAAACACGGCATACTTCGAAATAGATCAGCCAAAACGTCACAAAGTGACTGAAATGCCAATTTACCAATATGTATATATTTATTTTTATACACATCTATGATGTTCACGTTAATACAAGATTTGAGTGAATGGTTTGACAGCTGCCAGTGTGTTTTTATGGTTCTTATTGATGACAATCACTTTTATTTTTTTGTAGATAACTGGAAATGGGCAAATTAAAAAAACGATATAACTGGAAAGCAAGACAGCAGACTCAGACCACAGAAGTCATTTCAGAGGAAACCAAACAAAATGTGGAAGTTACTATTGAAGGTACGTTTTACCCTGAAAACATTCAGCTGATCCACATTTGGAGGTGGAATTTAAAATGTCTTGGTGCAATAATATCTATATATTGAACTACTGCATGTCTTCAGGTCTTAATGAGATATAAAAAAAAAAATGTATTTATTTTTTTTGCTGGGATGAATATGTGGTTATACAGTACTATGCTTAATGGTTTCAAAGCGCACTGTCCAAAAGGTACATTGGCCAAATGTAGATCAGGGGTGCCCAAAAGTTAGATCCCAGATGTTTTAAAACTACAGCTTCCTGGATGCTTTGCCATTCCAAAGGCATGCAAAGCACCATGGGAGTTGAAGTTGTACAACATCTGGGCGTCTCCCTTTTGGGCACCTTTGATGAAGATAGATCTACAGTGCCCATTGATGCTATTACTGCTTCTACAGTGGCTAACTGTGTGTATGTATGTGTGTGTGTGTGTGTGTGTGTGTGTATGTATGTGTGTGTGTGTGTGTATATATATATATATATATATATATATATATATATATATATATATATATATATATATAAAAATTATTTTTTTAACTTTTGAGTAGTATGGTAATAAGGCTGACAAATCTAGTACTCAACAACTCATTTTTGTGTTTAATCCATCAAGGAATTATAGTGACTGTACAGCCCACAGTTTGATACTTCAATAACGTAACTATGCATGTTTGTATCTGTAGATGTGATATACATGATGCTAATTTTCGCTAGCCATGTAAAACACATCTACAGATACAATAATTCAAACTTGGCAAGTGTAACATGGCATCACCATTGCCTGTCCAGATAATGTCTGTGGCCATCAAAAATAACCTAAAACAATAAAGCAGTCACTGGCAGCTTAAAGCTTTGTTCAGATTTTAGAAGTATATTATAAGTCAAGAAAGTTTGGCCTCTTTGATTAAGAATTGTGTCCGTTAATTCAGTACAAAAAATAGATGCTAATCACACACCATAATTTTATTGCAGGAGTTAAACAACTAAAAGGAGTGGATGAAAGCAATGCTTTAGTTTTACCATCAAAAAAGGCCAAACGGAAAAAAGTTGGTGACTGTGGTCATGTAAAGAAGCCGCTTAGTCGAAAACAGAAGAAAATACTACAGAAAATTGTGGAGCAAAAAGAAAAGAAAACAAAGGTTTGGAAAATCTAATGTTGTCCAATTCATTATGGTGTGTGCTTTTATTTTAAAGTGTTGTATATTGAAAACATCGCATGAGGGTTTAATCACTAAAGATTAGTGATGTGCCGAGCGGTTCGCCGCGGACTCATCATTGAGTAAACTTTGACCCTATATCTCACAGTCAGCAGACACATTCCAGCCAATCAGCAGCAGACCCTCCCACCTCCTGGACAGCATCCATTTTGAAGCTGCATTCTTAGTAAGCTGTCCAGGAGGTGGGAGGGTCTGCTGCTGATTGGCTGGAATGTGTCTGCTGACTGTGAGGTACAGGGTCAAAGTTTACTCAATGATGAGTCCGCGGCGAACCGTTCAGGACATCACTACTAAAGATACATAATGCAGATGAATGTACAGCTATGGAAGTGGTTCAGTTTGGAAATTTATATATTTGCTTTTTTTTTTTTTTTTTGCTGAAATAAACTGTATTTTATAACTAAAATATTGCCAAAATAAAATAGTTGGGCGAAAAAAAAAAAAGAGATCAATACAAAACTGTTGTAGGAATTCCTATAATAGTTAGAAAACAGTGTACCCGATAACAGAAGGGAAGTTGATATAACTTCTCTCTCTGTGTGTAGAGGGTAAATGTTTAAACAAAAAAAAAATAGCAACTCTCCTCCTGTGTAAATTTTCTTCAGCTTACGTACATGTTAAAAACCACCAATTTGTATCAAATTAGGTAAAACTTTATGCTGTTGTTTAATATCCAGCAACACCCAAAAAATTGCCCAATTGCATGGACAAAATTAGCAAAAACTATAATGCAAATAACAAGTTTGGTGAATGCAAAAAAAGGAAACAAGCAAGAATGTGTCTTATAGATCTGAAACATATCCAGAACAGTATAGGAAATTTGCGCTATATGATGGTCGTTTTTTTTTATTTATTTTTTTTTTTTTTTAACAAGTGTTGAGAGATATTACACTTTTGGATTTTATTTGTACCTCAACACTGTACCCTCCTCCTACCCAGTGATAGAGATTTGAATGAGACCCAACAAAGCCCCCCTTGCATTTCTTAATGCATGTGCAGGAAATTACAGGTATTTTTTCCTATGTGGGGGCGTTATATGTACCCCATGCTGTTTATTCAGCACCCTGTGCTATTGGATTGTTGGTGTATGCAACAATATGAGAGGTGAGAGGCTCCTGCTGGAAAACAAAGGCTCATGGGAATATTTACAGTTGGCACAATTAATTTATTTTTAAAATTACCTTTAAATTACAGGGTTATTTAATAAAGTGAGCATTTGAATTGGATATCAGAGAAGCAGAACTTAAATCATTGGTGACAGAAAATGTTGTTCAAGTTTGGCTATTTTGATCTTTAAATTTCAAATTCACTTTGATTTTTCACTTTAGTGAATAACTCTATTAATGTATTAGTGGAAGGTTTTGGAAAGGTCCCTACTCACATGCACCATTATATCAAGTGTTTGTGAGTCAGAGAGATATGTAAGCTGATAAAAACTCAAGTTGAATGGGTCTCCATTGCACAGGTGAAGCTAGTGCTGTAACAGTAAATCATTTGCGTTGGTGTCAGTTGTCTGTAGTTATATAATGTTCCTGTTTAATCCAGTTGGGACCACTGAACATTTCCTTGGGAGTTTTTGGTCCTAATACAGGGTTTAAGAACCTCTAGTGCAAGCCATATGGTGTATATCATATTATGAAATAAGTTGGATTTGCTGTGCTGACAAGTATTTATTTTCTTTATTAGCGAGCTGATATTCTCAGTAAACTAAGTGAGGTCCAGGTTTCAGAGAAGGAGCTAAGTTTGTTGTATACAACATCCAAGCTGGGAACAGGAGATCGCTTGTACAGTACTAAACGGTGAGTTTTACTAGCGAGACATTTTCTACCTTTCTTTCTTTTTTTTTTCTTTCTATTTTAGTTTTTGAATGAACTCTCCAGGATAAATCTTGACTTGCAATAGCTGCAGATCTGTTATCTGCAGCTACTGCAAGTTGCCCCAGTCGTTTTTTTATTTTCATAACAGACATTATGTGGCTGTCCAATACAGAAGTATGGGCAATTGCCTGCCTCTTGAGTTTAACTCCACAGAGCTAAAACTACCTGGAAGTAACAGGACCAGCTGTGTAATTGATGCAATGTGTAATAAGGTTCCTTTATAAAAGAGCAGATTTTTATTCAAATCTGTACTTTTATAACATGAAAAAAAGACACTTTAAAGCGTGCTTGTCATGGTGCACATAACGTATGCTCATTTATAAGCGCACAAAATCCCATCTCTACATTGTGCTAAACAGAATTTTTAACAAATGTGTGGATGTGGAAAAAAAAAATCTTCTTTTTAAAATGGATTTTACTCAACCTTTCAGTCACTTCCTCAGCATAGACTCTATGTTAAGGAATTGACTTGCTGGGAGAGCAGGATTGGGATCTTTCAGGTGATCCTCATTCTTTCCAGCATAGTAACTACAGAGCATGCCATGTGGTTGCTGTGATTATTCCTTAGAGGAGTATAGGGATTATATGACTGACAACACTTCATTGAGATGTCAGCATGCTGGAAATAAATAAGCATTCCCAAGCAGGGCAAAGCAAATCGTAGTGTGGGTGTTTTTTTTAGCAGTGTAAGACTCACAAAGCTGGAGACATAGTGGCACTGGACTGGAGGGTAGTTATAGGAACACTATGGGCATTATAACTACTTCATCACAGTTGATATGATAGCTGTATGGTTCACTTTTGAACTGTGTACTTACAATTTAAAGGTATACAACATCCAACCTGGATACCGGAGATCACTTAAATGGTTTTACTATCTAGGCAGTTTGGTTTTTTGGCATTCTTTTCGCTCAGATTATTATGATCATTTCAAAGATATGAAGTGGTTATGATATATCAACATTTTTAATTGATCATATCATTTATCTCCATTGGAAACTATATATTAGTCTTTTGGAAGGGATTTATGTTAAAGTGAATTCGTCATCTCGGGTACACTTGAAACATGAATATTGCAAATGCCTCCATGTATAATTGTTTATTCACTGTTGATTGTTAACTGCACTCTATTTAACAATATGCATATATTATGCTGACTTTTTTTATATGACCACTCCTGCCCGAAAGTACTGTTATTAATTATTACTATTATCTAGACTTTTTGTTTATTATATAATGATATGGGTGTAAAGAAATAACAGCTTTTGCTATAGATAAATATTGGTATTCAATATCTCTCTTGACTTGCTAATATTTACTGTTAAATTATTCTGTATTCCAATTACCATGAACCTGTCCACAGCAGCCTATTTGCGTGTATACACTGAACTCAATTTTTGGCTCTTGTATGTTGGGAACTTCTGAAATTGCACAGTCATTTGTTTTCATTTAGTAGTATTTTAGGAATTATATTTTGGAGGTGTCACCAGCACCATTTTTTTCCTAAATAGGTCATTGCAGTTTGCCACTTGATTTTTTGTATTTTCTATGGCGTGTATGAGTTGTAGGTTTTTCTGTTCTTTTTGATTTAGGACTCTTGATGACAGTAGCCCTGGATGTGGTCGGATCAGCAGCATTAGTGGTGTCAACAAAAGATCTAGACTGACATCAGAAGCAGAAGATGATGAACAAGAATTGGAGACTTCAGAGCCCTCTGTCAGCTCTGGTGAAGAAGAGGACAATGACTCTGAGGATGGAAATGATGTTGTAGAGGACAGTACTACAGAAAAGCCTAATACCTCAAGTACTTTGAAGAACATTAATACAGAGCCTAAGCAAATGGAAACTAAAAGTTTGAGCATGCCAAAGCCTTCTGAACCACCTTCTTCAACTCCAGCAATATTCATCCCAGTAGACAGAACTTCTGAAATTCAGGTTTGTTTTCATTCTATGATTGAATTGCATATATGATCTAGTTGTAGTCTTCAAATAATGGCCACATTTTGAGGCGAGATTCCCATGCAGACAGAGAATTATCTTTAATTCTCGAACAATGTGTGTTTGATCTTAAATCAGTAATCAATCAAATCTCCCTCAATTATTTTACTTCAAAATTAGAAACAGATGAAGATGTGAATACAACACAGTCATTGGTGTATACTTTTCAAATGTGAATCAGAGGAGCAAAAAAAAAGGACATGTATCCTGCACATACAGATTCCTACCACCATGACCACTTCTAAAAGCAGAAGTGGTCATGGAAGTTGTAGTACCCTTTTAACAGCAAGCTTATGTTTATGGTAAATTCAGGACTGCATACTTGTCCTCCTCTTTTCTTCCTTTAAACCTGTTGATAGCTGTGACACTACCTGGGTTTGTATCTATCCGTAACCTGCTCAATGGAATATCTGTACAAAACAAATGGTATGCACAAATAGTGATACAAATAGATTGCTCTAAAACACCCGTGTAGGATCCCCTATACCAACACTGTTAAATACATACAGAACAGGAAAAAATGGATGGAGCAATATTAGTCCTCTCTTCTCGACTTGTAGTTCTGTGGAGACAGAGAGGTACACACAATAGTGCAGATGGCTATAGACAGGTGTGGCTAGGTGATAGATGAAAACACTCACAAACGTAGAGCCAATTGGACCTGGCTCTGGTATCAAGGCCTCAGGATCTTTTGGGGGTGATCCAAATCCCTCTGGAGGTGTTCTGGATGTCCAAGGATACTTTCTTGTTCCACCATAAACAGCAAGGGATTCAATTAGATGTAAAGTAAAATATAATTTATTAATACATATATAGGAAAGATAAGTGTGAAATAACAGCCAAAACGCGTTTCGCCTCTTGGGCTTCCTCAGTTGGCTGTGTACTAGTCTCTAAGTCCTTCTCTGCCTTTAAACGTTGGTTTCGCGGTCTTTTTCAGCGTGGAACGCACCTTGCGTTCCATCTTCCAATCGTTGGTTACTTCCGGGTTCTGTAAATGCGGACAATCACGTGGGGCGGTCTTTTCGTAGGTGGAACGCATCTTGCGTTCCATTCTCCGATCTGTGTTTACTTCCTGGCTTCGGTCATGTGTGTCATCACGTGTATAGCGTTTCGTGCACGTGATATCTAATTTGCATTGTGGAATACTCTTTCGATGGATATTCCTCTCGGGCTAATAATTAAATAATAAGTTCACTAACATATTAATGTGATAATCACTGTATACTAATTGACCATTATAAATGTAAATATACCTGGGTACATGACAAGATAAATGGATATATTAACAGACTCTTTGTGGTGACAAAACACTTAGTTTTAAAATATACAATTGGATAGCTAAGTTCTTAAAGTGACGGTGCATGATTCTAAACATAACCTAATCAGTATTTAGGAATGCAATTGTTTGGGAAAGGGAAGAAAAAGAAAGAGAAAGTAATGTTAATGGATCATTTGAAACAGAATTTTACCATGGAGATATATATACATTATACCCTTATTTCCTCAGATTTGTAAAGTGACAGTGTGCAATTACTTTTAATGTAAACTCAGCTCATAAGTGGCTTGATGCTTGTGTGCTTAAAGTGGCAATGCTTTTATGATGTTCTGAAAAATATTGTTATACATGGTCTTGCAAGATCTTGGTTTAATCTTATATTAATCTCTAAATAAATACATATATTTACGACTAATGGATGGTTAAAAAAGGGGGGAACTATAAAAAGTGGCATAATTCGAAATCTTGATCAAGGCCGTGTGGGATAAGCGTTTTAAAATTATAAATAAATTTCATCTCTTCTTCTCCTATTTTTCTATTAAAATCTCCTCCCCTCCAATCTTTTTGTACCAATTTGAAGGCGCAAAAGAACATGTTTTTTGGTTCACTATTGTGGTGTATCTTAAAATGATTCGATACGCTGTGCGTTTCTAAACCCTTTTTGATGTTTCTTACATGTTCTGCAATCCTGACATGTAGGCTTCTAATAGTTCTGCCTACATACATCAGACCACACGGGCATCTAAGAGTATAAATGACATTTTTTGAAAAACATGTTAATAGATTATTAATTGTGAATTTTTTATCTTTTTGGTAGTTGAAGGAGGTGATATGTCTTTTACTCTACTAATAGAAAAATAGGAGAAGAAGAGATGAAATTTATTTATAATTTTAAAACGCTTATCCCACACGGCCTTAATCAAGATTTCGAATTATGCCACTTTTTATAGTTCCCCCCTTTTTTAACCATCCATTAGTCGTAAATATATGTATTTATTTAGAGATTAATATAAGATTAAACCAAGATCTTGCAAGACCATGTATAACAATATTTTTCAGAACATCATAAAAGCATTGCCACTTTAAGCACACAAGCATCAAGCCACTTATGAGCTGAGTTTACATTAAAAGTAATTGCACACTGTCACTTTACAAATCTGAGGAAATAAGGGTATAATGTGTATATATATCTCCATGGTAAAATTCTGTTTCAAATGATCCATTAACATGACTTTCTCTTTCTTTTTCTTCCCTTTCTCTTTTTCTTGTTTAAAATTGAAGCCCTGTGTAGAACAGCCTTTTTGAGCCAAACAATTGCATTCCTAAATACTGATTAGGTTATGTTTAGAATCATGCACCGTCACTTTAAGAACTTAGCTATCCAATTGTATATTTTAAAACTAAGTGTTTTGTCACCACAAAGAGTCTGTTAATATATCCATTTATCTTGTCATGTACCCAGGTATATTTACATTTATAATGGTCAATTAGTATACAGTGATTATCACATTAATATGTTAGTGAACTTATTATTTAATTATTAGCCCGAGAGGAATATCCATCGAAAGAGTATTCCACAATGCAAATTAGATATCACGTGCACGAAACGCTATACACGTGATGACACACATGACCGAAGCCAGGAAGTAAACACAGATCGGAGAATGGAACGCAAGATGCGTTCCACCTACGAAAAGACCGCCCCACGTGATTGTCCGCATTTACAGAACCCGGAAGTAACCAACGATTGGAAGATGGAACGCAAGGTGCGTTCCACGCTGAAAAAGACCGCGAAACCAACGTTTAAAGGCAGAGAAGGACTTAGAGACTAGTACACAGCCAACTGAGGAAGCCCAAGAGGCGAAACGCGTTTTGGCTGTTATTTCACACTTATCTTTCCTATATATGTATTAATAAATTATATTTTACTTTACATCTAATTGAATCCCTTGCTGTTTATGGTGGAACAAGAAAGTATCCTTGGACATCCAGAACACCTCCAGAGGGATTTGGATCACCCCCAAAAGATCCTGAGGCCTTGATACCAGAGCCAGGTCCAATTGGCTCTACGTTTGTGAGTGTTTTCATCTATCACCTAGCCACACCTGTCTATAGCCATCTGCACTATTGTGTGTACCTCTCTGTCTCCACAGAACTACAAGTCGAGAAGAGAGGACTAATATTGCTCCATCCATTTTTTCCTGTTTTCAATGGAATATCTAGCTTCTGAGAAGTGATCTAAACATGTTCTTCTAAATCCGCTTTAGAAACCGACAATTACTAATTGGAACATTGTAGTTAAAGCCCTAACTAAATGATTGAAACAAAGTAGTACTTTTTATGTATACGTTTGAATTGGAGCACATTGCTCATTTAGAACTTGTTGAAAAAAATAGTTTTTATACAGAGGTCCATTTTAACATCTGAAAAGAATGGAAACACATGAGATGACCATAACAACAAGCTAGCATGTGAAATACAATCAATGGCAGGGCAAAAGGAAAATATAAAAGGACCACAAGTAGGCATATGTAATTCTCTATTTGGCTTTGGGAGTCATGGAGGGAAGAACTGATATAGGCAATCAGTTGTTATATCTATTTGCAAATACATTTTAAAATAGGAAATTGCTGTGATATTTTCTTGAGGGATGGCAAAACAATGCAGTTCAAGCCAGTGTTAACCAAATAGATGGCAGTATGCATAAACACTAGTTTCTGTCTCATAACCTCTTACTAGTTTCTCAACATCCAAAATGCTTCATTACCTGCAATTTGGTTTAGCAATACATCAGGGTACAACACCTCCTCGGCTTTAGGAATATTGCCTATCTGCTTATTTTTGAGTGCTTTCTTTATTTGCTGAGGCGTGGAGTTGCTAAAACTGTAAGGCTCACATTCTGATTTATAATATAAAATGGTGTACATCTTTGGCATTTGTTTTATTGAAACTAAAATCATTGAAGGACTTCTCCTTTCCATATAATGAAATACAGATAAACAGGAGTTTGGTATTGGGATCATGTTGATGGTCCAAGGCAGGTCCTCCTCGTGCAAAAACAGCTTGAAATTGAAGTAACAGTTTCTTATTTGTCGGATGAAAAAAAGTTTGCCTTTTTCATGGATGTGTGACTTAATAATTTGTGTTTGTATTTGTGTTTTTTGTTTTTCTTTTCTTGTAGAGATGCTTTATAGGCACAAAGTACATCTATTTGTATAAACTGAAGTAAAAAAAGGGGTTGAGTCCCATCCCCTCAATTGTTCTACAAATGGGAGCTAGTTACTTTAATTTCAAGCCGCTGCCTTGACTGAACTTTAAGGAGTATTGCAAAATCACTACCCAATTGAGATTTTGCTTAAATCTTTCATTTATTGATCCTATTGACCAATTAAGATTTTTTTTTTATTGACTTCTAGGAGGCAAGATTAAAACTGCCAATCCTGGCTGAAGAGCAGGTGATCATGGAAGCCATTAAAGAGAACCCAGTCGTGGTTTTATGTGGAGAGACTGGCAGTGGGAAAACTACTCAGGTTCCACAGTTTCTGTATGAGGCTGGCTATGGAAGGTAGGTCAGGGAGGTACTGTAATACATAGCAGCTTTTATGTATCACTGAAACACCGTATACGATAGCTCTAACCTCTTCAGCTCCTTAAATCTATAGTTTGCACAAATGTTTCTGTGAAATTATGTTTACAAAATGACTTCTTTATTTATAATATATTTTACCAGGAAGGATACATAGATATTTCTCATGTTTTCAAGTATCGTTACAGTAGGGTACAATATAATTAAAAATGGTAAAACAATATTAATACACAACACCTATACAAAATGTAACTTATAACATTTGTTATTAGCCCCTCTCACTTGTTTCATACTATTTTTAAAATTGAAGTTTATCATAGTTTGTCAGCAGAATTAAGTTGCCAATTTGAATGAAAGATGAGTAACTATTAGAAAACTGTGTGTTTCAATCTAAGAACACAACTCCACACAATTGCATTAGAAAAATGGGCTTTTGAAATTGGTTGTTTTCATAATAATGCAGTCAACCCATCTGTGACTAACCATGAGTTAAACTACTTATCACTCCTGGTTGATGTGATGATTGATGTAATCTTCTATATTTTAATTATTTTAAATAAATATAATTTTTTTTGTTTTGTTCTTAGTGACAATGACCTTATTGGTATCACTGAACCACGTCGTGTGGCTGCAGTTGCTATGTCACAGAGAGTGGCACTCGAAATGAATCTGTCTCACAGGTAGATATTCACCCTACAATCTCTGTTGCAAACTAATAACCTTTTGTAATGATCAATAGAAAGTGACTTAACCTATAGTACCACAGGCATGTTTCCTTTATGGGTTTCTAGACTATGGCAGATTAAAATTGTCATTAGAAGAGTTGATATAACACCTTTTGTTTTCTTGTCCACCACTGCACAGCCTGAGAATATGCAGTAAATGAAGGAACTTCATATGTCAAGTTTGTTATTTTTAAAGGACCACTATAGTGCCAGGAAAATATCAGGGTCCCTCTCCCGCCGGGTTCTAGGTGGTGGAAGGGGTTAAACTTACCTCTTTCTCCAGCGCCGGGCGGGGAGCTCTCCTCCTCCTCGGCTGCATGCGCGGCATTCACAATGCTTTCCTATGGATGCTGGCGTCTTCTCACTGTGAAAATCACAGTGAGAAACCTCTAGCGGCTGTCAATGAGACAGCCACTACAGGCTGGATTAACCCTATTATAAACATAGCAGTTTCTCTGAAACTATGTTTATAGAAGAAAGGGTTAATCCTTGCTGGACCTGGCACCCTGACGACTTAATTAAGCTGAAGTGGTCTGGGTGCCTATAGTGGTCCTTTAATGCTACATTAAAAAGTTCTCCACAAGGAAGATTGTGGCACTTAGTGACATTACTCTGGTAGAACACTTTAAACATCTCTCAATAACTTACTTCAGATGGATTGTCACTTATTGGGTTCTCACTGTTTAATGCCTAAAATAAAATGATTCTTGGTAACCTTTGATTCCATGTTTCCCAGGGTTGTCTCCTACCAAATTCGATATGAAGGAAACATTTCTGATGAAACAAAATTAAAGTTCATGACAGACGGTGTGTTGCTGAAGGAAATTCAGAAGGTACGGTTAACTGTTTTATAGTGACGTGAACGGAGAAAAAAAAAAGCAATACAATGCCATGTTGGTATGCAAAAAGGATCTTAACCAAGTTATCTGGTCTGTTTTATAAAACATATTAGCAGATACACAAGAGCACAACGGTATGATACGAGAAGCACTCTGTTGTATCAAGTAATGTTTCTGTGTACTGAGGGATATGTACGGACTTTTAACATTCATTTGAAAGGCGGGGTTTGGGGGGCATGTCACTGAAACTTGCTATGTTTGCTTTCTCTGTATGAGTTTTATTGCATGTAAAATAATATAAGGCATTTGAAAAATTCGTCAGATTCCCTCTGTTTCTCCAGATTGCTTATTCTCTGTGTGGTTACATTCATTATTTATTTAGCTGATAAATTGCATGCTTACAGAAGCAAATATTTAGCAAAATACCACAAGACTCGAGAAGCAGAGCACAGCTGAGTTTAAAAATAAATAAATTTATAAATCCATAAATAAACTGTATTAACTTTGTATTTTAATGCTCATTGAAGTGGTCTGGGTATAGTGTCATTATTGCATTTAGGGATGCAATGTAAAACATTGCAGTTCCAGAGAAAATGCAATGTTTACATTACAGCACTAAGTCTGCCTCCAGTGGCTGTTTAGTACAGGGAGATGTAGTGCCAGGAATAGTATCCTTTTAAGAATAGTATCCCTTTAAGATAGAGTAAAACAGCGAAGAAATATAAACTCCAATCCAAGTGAAAGTGTATCCAAAAGTAATCAGGCAGAACACACCTTAGAATAAAAATACTCACAAATAGACTTATGGTAAACTTTCCATAGTGTGGCCAATGGTGTGTGATAACATTAACAACCTGTTTAAAAATGTGTCTTATGAAATCCTCTTTCAAACTTACACAACAGGGGATTGTATAACTAATCATCACGTTTTTTTAAAGCTATAATTTTAACCAGGATAGAGCGGTGATTATATATCCAAGTGTCCCTGCAGATACCGTCATGTATTGCCACTAGGCTCAACTTGCTGCAGCTGTGTAATCAAACAATGACCAAGGGTGATCACATTAATTCTCAGTCCTCCGTTGCTGGGAGCAGCTTCTCCAGTGGCCTATCAAATATCGGCTTCTCCAGCCTCTAACAGTCGGCCTTGTACAAGAAACAGTAAAAATGAAAGTGTCACAAAGTGGAACAAACAAACAAAAAGAAAACATGGCCCAACTCATGTTTCAGTGCAATCTAGTGCACTTTTGTCAGGGATTTTTTGAAAGGGGATTTTATAGGACAAGTTATAAACTTGGTAGCAATTGATATCACACACCAATAATCACATTGTAGTAAATTTCAGGCTTAATCTGTGGTATTTTATAAGAATTTTCCAGGGACACATCCTACATCTTTGTTTCAAGGGCTAACAGACTTTTATAGTCCAAGTATCTTTTCTGTTCCACTAGCGTTTTTTTTGGTTTGATTGTCATATTTATAAAAATCAAATTGGAATTTAGTACATTTAGCAGGATCTTTATTATAATGTCCTTGTCTACTGTAACCCCTTAAATAAAACACTAAATACCCATAATGAATGTAAGAGCACATAGATCTAGGAATTCCATTCTTTTTGTGTGGGTTTTTTTTATTTTTTTGCATTTGTATTTGCTGAATTAATTTTATTGGGACTATCTTTTCTTCACAGGATTTCTTACTTCAAAAGTATAAAGTAATCATTATTGATGAAGCCCATGAAAGAAGCGTGTACACGGACATTCTAATTGGACTGCTTTCTCGTATTGTCCCTCTTCGGAAAAAGGTTACCGACATTGATGTTAAACCTGAATATCATGTGATGTACATTGCCATTTAAGATCGCTGAAAGGCTATGGTGCCCGGTGATTTTAAGGAGTCGTATTATTTTAGAATGATTTATTTTTAACCTGGGGTCCGCCAGGTCTGCTTTCTGTCTCCATTACTGGGGGCAGAGAGCCAGAAACTCCTGAGCAGGAGTTGGCTCTCCTGAGGGTTAGTTCATTGGCTGAGAGCATCAGCCACTGCAGAGTTTAACTCCGAAAAACCTCTGTCTCAAGTAACCCTGCGGATCCTAGGTAAAAATTTAAACTGTTCTAAAACAGTTTAAATCCTCACAATGGGGGGTCGCCAGGTCATTCCTGACTCCATAACCACTACTGCTGGCTGTTGTGTTTTATGGTGCTTAGAGTGTTAATTTAAAGTGGTACTGTCATCCCTCGCAAAATGAGTATTTCATAAATATAGAATGTTTATGAAATTCTAAAATTGGCTGTGTTAGAATTTCACTCAAATTTCAACCTAATCAAGATATGTACTGAGACAAAGTAGGGATTTGTCATACAAATTGAAACAAAATAAGGATTATTGTAAATAGTATTTGCAGGTGATCAATTGTGGATATTTCTAAATGTGTAGTGAAGGTTACAGTGTTCTAATAAAACTTAATTTAGTAAATTTTGTTAAAAAGTCCCTAAGATTTAGTCTTTTGGTACATACAGCACAAAGAACCTATAACCTTAGAATTTAATTTTGTTTCTATTGTGTCATTACACTTGGATGAATAATGCTTAGCATATTCAACTACTATTACTTTTCTTACCTGAGATTTGGTCCATGCAGCTACCCACTCGGCTCCCGTTTTTGTCTTCCTTCTAATACTACCCTTATATGTATTCATTTGTTTTCACAGAAAGGGAAGCCGTTGAAATTGATTATTATGTCTGCTACACTGCGTATTGAGGATTTTACAGAAAACAAGCGACTTTTCCCTGCCCCCCCTCCTGTGATCAAGGTAACTATATCATATTCAGCTCACTAACAGTATAATTATTTGGGCATTGTGATTATCCCAACTGGAAGCTTACCAAGCTAAAGGGAGAGATTTGAAGGATTAAGTGGAAAGTTCAAAAAGCTTCACCGAATTGGTGGGGAGGAGGATCTGGAATTAATATAAGATATGGAAGAGAAATGAAGTGGAAAGGAGTCTTTCGTTTGGACCTGCAGAGCATTCTGAAGGAGAAACACTATTGCTGTATGCTTTATATAGTCTAAACTTAAATATTGTGGAAGCAATGTAAGAAATAATAAATGGATTTTTTATTATTTTGCTATTTTATGTGGTTCAGTAGGTATCACTTAGAAACGGTTGGTTTGTTTTTCTACGCATCTCTGTTTTTGTGGTTTTAAATTGGATTGCTCCCCTGTTTTCATTCAATCTTTGATATCAGACAGGAAACATTACCTTCCATTTGTGTTCTAAACCTAGGATAGTTTAAAAAAAACAAAACGCAAACAAACCAATTCTCATTGCAGTGAGTGACCTTCAAAGAAATATGCACAACAAGCATGTATTTTTGGATAACTTAAATATGCTGTATGAAGAGCATTTGCATCTCTGCCCATGTTACTCATGTATTTCCGAATGTAAAAGAGGACCATGGGGGCTTCATTGATAAGCTGCTAGCTGGTCCTCTGACTGTACATTTTGGTTAATAGCTGTTTGCATCCCTTCATTTTTGGAAGAAGGTGTTTTATATGTCCCTGGGCCCCTCAGTGGAGGTCTACAACTTAAAAGCTTTTCTTTGGTGTTGACTTCTAGACAACAGCAAGGTATTTGTTGTTTCAGTTGTTTTCAAATCGTATTTCTTTATTTCACCTTGGGCATCTCCCTTGTGGCCACCCATCTTTTATAAAATGTTCAAGGTATACTTGGCATTCAAATAAAAATTACAGGGTACTGTAATCATCATTTGTCTCTAAGAGGATAATATTTACCCTATGGTCTCTGCTTACTCTAAGCAGAACCAAGAAAAAAATCCCTGCATCATCTTCTAATTGCAACCTACACATTGGCCTACATCATTTGGGTCCATTCCCCCAACTTATTTTCCATCTCAAGTTGCCCTTGTTTTCTCCCCTTTTGTTTTTTTCTGTTCCCAATTCTGCCAACCTTATTTTCCCCTTCTTGTCTCCTGCATAGCCCCATGTGTGTCTGAGGTATTGTCTCATTAATGATTGTTTGCTTTTATACCTGCATTGGCATATTTTTGCAGTAAGCATTTTTAGCCATTAATAAGTATAAAAAGGAATTGTGAATATTGACTTACCTGTCATTATCCTCAGAATAATATTATAACTCTGGTGATTATCTCATATACAGTATTGCAAGCATATAAAATGTATCCTCCCCCCACTCAGATGATCTTTACTGAATAGTAAGGAGGTTATAATTATATCTTATGTTTCTTCCAGGTGGACTCTAGGCAGTTTTCAGTTACAGTGCATTTTAACAAGCGCACCCCACTGGACGACTATGCTGGGGAGTGTTTCAGAAAAGTCTGTAAGATCCACCGGATGCTTCCTCCAGGTAAAGACTTTTCTGCTTTAAATAGTTTTAGTCTGGCCTACTTTATCATAAACAATTGATAAGTGTTGTTTTTTTCCCCTTAGGTGCCATCTTGGTTTTTCTAACCGGGCAGGCAGAGGTCCACTCTCTGTGTAGAAGGTTGAGGAAAAACTTTCCGTACAGTGGGAAAAAACTCCCAGAAGGTAAGACTGTAAGAAGTTTAACTATTTTTCTCTATGGGTTTTTTTTTTTTTCTCTTTTGTAGCATGTTCTCTGTATGCAGCATGCTTACGTCCATTTTGTATGCATCTACTCTGTATTTATAGCACTTGAGCCTGTAAAATCCTTCGTACACCCACTTGGTACTGTTTGGTCCTGTTTACACATAGTTGAGTGATATAACTGCTTCCTCGTTAGCTGTCACTTTCTTTTCATGTTAATTTGGAGAAATGTTTATTACACCACATGTTTCCTTTTAAAAGTGATTTGGTGGCAGTATTTACAGCAATAGTTAATGTCTTTAGAAGTTAGCCCTGTACAAATGTATGTTGGGATGTTGCTGCTAAGATTATGTGTTGACCAAATAACCACCAATATTGTTTTTTTCCTTTTCCTGTCACTAAAGGAACTGGGCACTTCTTGTTTCATTGTGGCTTCTGTTAACATTTTAATTAGGTTTACAGTTTACCTCTAACAATGCTTAAATAATTATCCTGCATGAATGGCTCTGATAGGGAACCTCTGGGCATCATAAAAACTTTATCGGAATGTTCCCTGGCACTGGCTTACGTTTAGGGGTTAAATCGTTAATGAATGGTGTAACCCCTAAGTGTTGAATCCAGCGCCAGTTAGCTCTGCCTCTCACCTTCCACTTTTTGTCCAAAGTTTGAATCAGGAAGCCTTGGATAGGGGTGCTGCAGATTGGCTTAGAGTGTCAGCTCTCTGTCATTGGGTCTCCATTCACAAAAATGTGGACCATCACGAGAGAGCGATGGCTGTCTGGTGACATTGTGGGACAAATAACAGGCAGCAGCACCAAAGAGTCTTTGCACAGTTCTAGTTGGGGTGGTGACCTCTGAACTAAATGGGGACCAAGGCACTATAGCTTTAAAAATACATGTTTGTATTCCTAACTCTATAATGTCCCTTTGATGAAGATGTGTGATGTATTTGTTTGCACTTTATGCAGTTATCTGAACTTGAATGCTGACAACTTGGTAAGCACCATTTATATATGTATGGTATTTATGTCTGTAATATGTTTAGTGCACAGACGTTCTATGCTATTTGCCCCTTCTTATTCATTGCTATGTACTTTACTTATAGTAACTTCAGTTAGAATGTGACTAAATGGTTGGTTGGTTATTTTTTCCTTGCAGAAGAGGAAGAAGACTCACAAGAGGCAATGGAAAAAAATAAGAAATCTAAACAAAGAAAGCATATGGTAAGCTCTTTTTGTGGCTTCCAACAGGTTTGATTTACTGTTGCGTTAAGAATTATTTATACATAGAAATTTCTGGGCACATTTACAAATGTGGAGCAATCACAGGGATTGTTCCATTGGCTTCTAATTTGATCACATAATTTCTTCGTTTATAGATATTTGCCTCATGTGCAGGTCCGGATTAACATAGGGGCTGATGGAGCTGCAGCTGTATGGGAATAGGCCCATTGATTAAAAAAATATAAATAAATAAATATATATATATATATATATATATATATATATATATATATATATATATATATATATATATATATATATATATATATATATATATAAAATATGCTCTTGCCTAAGTATAGAAACTTAAGAAAGACGTAGGGAAACAAAACTGGTGTGGACTGGCTGAAAATGAAATTAGTTAAGGTAAAGCTGACTTTGCGCACTATGCAAATGTTCTTGCTGCTGCAGTCTCTCTCTTCCGCAGCGAATAAATGGTGAATTAACCATTTGTTTGCTTACCTTAATCCGGCACCAGGTTCCCTGGGCGCTGGTGACCTCTCCTCCTCCATCGACGTCCACTACCGAGTGGAGCCGAATGCGCATGCTCGGCCAGAGGCGCACGCATTCTAACCCACCCATAGGAAAGCATCACTAAATGCTTTCCTATAGGGATCTTTTTTGACGCTGGAGGTCCGTGAGGACGTGCGATTTACTGTGTAAATTGCAGAAGCGCCTCTAGTGGCTGTCAGGGAGGCTGGATTAACCCTGCAGTGTAAACATAGCACTTTCTCTGAAACTGCTATGTTTCAGCTGCAGGGTTAAAACTAGGGGACCTGGTACCCAGACCACTTCATTGAGCTGAAGTGGTCTGGGTGCCTATAGTAGTCCTTGAAGGTTTTAAGTAGGTGTTTTTTGACCTGCTTGTGAGGCTTCACAAAATCTTCCCAACCTCTTTTGTTATTTGCATATGGGCATGGGTAAGCACAAGCTGGTACCTGAATTGTTGTCAATGTCCATCTGTTCAGTCCTTGTAGTCTCAAATATTTTGATTAATTGAGTTCCCAGAACTGTGGATGGTCTCTTTTGAATCGCTCTCTTTATCATGTCAAGCCTACAAAACAATCAAAGAAGTCTGTTTTCCCGTAATCATAACTAGTCATAACCAGGCTTTGAAAGGCTTCCCCTTTCCTTTAATCTTTATACTCCCCAACACTTGGTATGTCTTTCCAATAGAAAAACATATGGTCATTATTCTGTCCTCTCTAAACTTTATTCACATTTACTGAGCCATCTTTGGTCAAGAGGATTGATTAAAGTCACAGTAGGACGCCTTCTGACCCAAACACGAATTAAGAGGCTACTGAAGCGCTAATTCTCTTTTCCTTCTCTGTTTTTAACAAAACCATCAATATATTCACCCTGTGTTCTACTTTATCACTCTCTCTTCCTCGTTATCAGCTCTACCAAAGCCAAAAAAATTAGGTGCACCTAAAGAAAAATACATGGTGATCACTTAGAGTAGAACAATCAAAGACTGAGTGGCTTTATTTATAGTTTTCTGAAAAAAGACCGGGTTTACATTGCTGCCTATAGCCACCTCTAGTGGCTCCCTGGCTTCGGTCTGACAAAGATTGAAGTCGCTAAACTCTCCCCATAGAGATACAATTGATGCTTCTCTATAAGGAGATGTTGATTGGTGCAGCACAGTGATTTGCCATGCATGTACACTAGTCTCCCACTGCTTCCATATGGAGAGATATTGTATTGCCTAAGATCTTCAAGGTTGATGATTTTTATTTATTTTTTTAAATGCAACTCACTACTGAGTAGAACTCTATAATGTTGGGGATGTGTGTGTTTCATTAATTAAAGTTAATTTAAATTGTGTCTGCAGAGATAACATGATGGTTTTTTTTTTTTGTTTGATTTTTTTTTTTCTACTACAAAAGTGTTGAAAATTGAATATATACAATGTTTTGGGAGGGGGGGAGGGAGATAGCTCACCTTGCAATCAATCCTCATCTGGTTGCACAAATTAAAGATTTTAACAGCCAGCAAGAGTGAGCCTTTAAGTTTAAAGCCATGTTTTTGTTTTTTTCATGAAAAGTGATTGAAATCGTGATTTTAGTAAACTTGATTTAAATCAAATCCATCCTGATTTTGAAGGTTTTAAATATGTATGCAGAGAACTGTATTACTTTAACAAAATGTCAATCTACCATTTGTTACTGTGTCATATAAAAGATCTGGTTGGGATCCGTACTTGTAAAACACTTTAGTTATTTCTTTATGATTAAAAACTAGTATTTTTTTATTTAATGAGACGTTGGTAACCAATGCTCTATTTTGAAAAAAATACAGTGATGAGAAGCCCAGCTTGTACCACTTATGATTGAAAGTAAAAATGTAATGTTTTGGTTTCTTTACTCAGAAATTACCAAAGATTGACCTGGATAACTATTCAGCCATGCCATTGGATGAAGGGGATGAAGATAGGGAGGCTGGTGAGGAGGAGGATGATGGTGAGGGGTCTGATCTCGATCTGGATTTAGATGATGAAGGCCCAGATGAAGGTATGTGTTGCCCTTTTAGTAGCATGTTTTTAAACCCATTTGTATTAAGGCCCTTTTTATACAGATCAAGGATGAGTAGATTTTATGAAAGTTAACGGACACTTAAAAGGGGACTCTATAGTATTCCTAGTGTTCTGTGCTTTTAACTTTCATTATTCTAACATCATATTGGATATGGTTTGCATGATGTTATTAGTGTGATATATATGGTTCTTACTCCCTTTGAAATTAGGTTTATGCTAACTGGAGAACAGATGCATTCATTTACAGTGCCCCCATTGTCTTATCAGTCGTAATCCAGTATGGGAAACACTTAATTCCACAGTATATCTGTGAATGTTTACCCTCTTAATTTAACTACATTGTGTTTAATGCGTCACAATTAATTGAGCTACGGTCACATTACTTGAGTTCATTCAACGTTTCTGTAAATTCTTCTTAATAAATTTAATCGGCTCTTATTATAAATAACATTTTGTTATATTTGTATTTTTAGATGAAAAACCAGATTCCTCTCTTCCCCTGTTTGTACTACCACTCTACTCCTTACTGGCTCCAGAGAAACAAGCCAAGGTATTGTTGAAGGATACTCTTGGCTCCAAAGCAACTTTAGCTTAATGAAGCAATTTAGTTTGTAGAGCAGGGGTGATCCCTTCGGCACTCCAAATGTTGTGGACTACATCTCTCATAATGCTCTTACAGACATAATGCTAGTAAAGCTTCATGGGAGATGTAATTCACAACTTCTCATATGTCGGAGGTTACCTACACCTGGTATAGATCATGATCTTGTAGTCTTTCTGCTAAAGTCTCTGCCATAATTGCTTTTCCTTCTGCTTATATAGCCCTAGTCACACTTCCCCGGGCTGTGACTCACACAGCCTACATGAATAAATGGTTTCATTTTCAATCAGATGTAATAACACAGTGTGTTTACTTTAGATGTTTTTATCTACCACTCTTTTAATTGAACACACGCAGGTAACTCCTACAGGCTCTAGCAGGCTTTTAAGAGAAGCGGGCAATAAGAAAATTGTAAATTAAACAAGTGGAAGTTTAATCCTGAGTCCTCACAGCAAATATGTTGACAGACTACGTAGTACACATGCAAGGAAGGTGTGGCTAGGGCTACATAAACAAAGTGATTTAACTCCTAAATGGCAGAGGATTGAGCAGCGAGACTGCTACATTATCTCAATGTAGCAGTTTTGGTGTAAACTTCAGAAATATAGGAAATAATGGTTTCCTTATTGTGTAGCCATACAGCCAATAGCAGATTACCTGTGTCTAAAAAGTAAAACCTAAAATAATTGTGCAATATTGCTTTATAAACCACCCCATAAAATTCTCCAAATAGTTTAACTGACAAGATTAGAGTGAATGTGTGCCACTCAAACAATCAAAATCTGGGAGGATCAGCCCATTGACTGCATGGATTCCCAGTAGCAGCTTTTATTTTATATAACACGTTAAAATCAAAGGAGTAGATAAAGACATAAGCAACGGTGTTTTGTTGAAGGTGTTTCAAATAAAGCAAGTCTCTTGATACAGTTAATGTTGTATACAGTTTATGTATCTTCTGTACTCGTAACTTTGTATCAGAAGGAAGCTCATGTTCCTGATGTCACAATACCAATTGCAACTCGTTTTTTGTAATTTTTTTTATTTTATGTATTTATTAATTTAAAGTTGTTTTGGTGCTTTTAGTGTCCTTTCAGGATCACCGTAAAATAAGGTCAAACACTGCTTCTTCAAAGTGAACACAATTTGTGATGTAAAGATTACTGATTGCCATCAAGTAGCTCTTAGCTTTTCATCTGTTAAAAATATTAGCTACTTGTCTTTGACGCAAGCAATGTTACATGGGGAGTTCCACCTCTTAGAGAGTGATGAAGAGTATATCCTTTGCTAATAGGAGTTTTTCTTTCATGAACAAGATAATTTACTTTTAGCAATAACCAGCACCAATTTTCCCAGCGTTAGTCATGAACTACATGTCATTATCATAGGTTTTCCGTCCTGCACCCAGTGGCACAAGGCTGTGTGTTGTGGCCACCAACGTTGCAGAAACGTCTTTGACAATTCCGGGGATAAAGTATGTGGTTGACTGTGGCAAGGTGAAGAAGAGGTTCTATGACAAAGTTACTGGTGTGTCTTCATTCAAAGTAGACTGGATTTCCCAAGCGTCAGCCAATCAGCGAGCAGGAAGAGCTGGACGTACAGAGCCTGGCCACTGCTACAGGTAAGTGTATACTGCACAAGTTATATTATGAACAAAATGTTTCTCTCTCGATTTACTCGAGGCTGTTAAAAAAAAATAGAAATACACAAAAATAAGTCCTGCGCTCAAACACCCCCTACTTTTGGGCGGCAGCAATGACCATAGTACACATCAGACCCAATATTTACGATAAAAACCAAAGAAAAGAGTTACCTGTGCACCACTCCAAATCCCTATGCAAAACCTCCATTTGTGTTAATATGCATAGGGATTGGGGGTAGTGCGCAGGCAACTCTTTTATTTGTTTTTTATTGTTCCAAAAATATATTCAATAAGTAGGAAATTAGAACTTGGGTAAGGGATAATCACACAGCCTAAAAAAAATAAACTCATTGATTATTCCAGATTTTACACCAACTTTTAATATAAGATGTATTTGTGATATCCCATTGTTAATGTTACATATGTTTATTACAATTCATGATGATATATACTGATTTTACCTTTTTCGTACTTTAGACTGTATTCTTCAGCTGTGTTCAGTGATTTTGAAGAGTTTTCCTTACCAGAAATAACGAGGAGGCCAGTTGAGGATTTGGTACTTCAGATGAAAGATCTGAACATTGAAAAGGTTAGACTGAAACCTCTTTGATTTTCTTAAACTAGTACAGTGATACAGCAAACTGTAGTTTAACAAATGTGTTACAGTAGAGATGAGGTAATTGAGAATTATGGGTGAAAAGAAAACATTGTAAGGGCTACGAAAATACAGCATTGGCAAGATATTTATATCTGTAAAAGTCACATCTTATTCATCTTATCTGACGTCCAATATTATTCTTATTTTAGGTTGTAAACTTCCCTTTTCCCACACCACCTTCTGCAGATGCCCTTATTACTGCAGAGGAATTACTTATATCTCTTGGAGCATTGCAAGACCCCCCCAAAGTTGGAAGGTAAGTGGGAAAAATGTACTCCTAATAATGGGTTACCAGTGTGTTGTTTGATTATTTCCCATTAATGTTCTACCTTTTTAAATACAAGGCAAGTCTTGGTAAATATATATATATATATTACTAATGCTTGCAGTATTGTTTTGCTCATAAGGTTGCTTCACTTACAAATAAAACTCCATCTATAAAAAATGTTTTGGATGTATGTGAACTTTAAATCAAAAAATAAAATACCTTGCTTCTCCCACTGTTCCAAAATGAATCTAAGATCAAAGTGAGTGAATGTTATTGACAATATTTAATGTAAATTTTTGTTTTTATTCCTTCAGGCTCAATGATCTGCAGAAGGCTAAGCTCAGTAGCCCAATCACTGCTTTGGGTAAAACCATGGCATCCTTTCCTGTTGCACCACGATATGCAAAAATGCTAGCACTGGGCAAACAGCATGACTGTTTACCATATATAATCACCATTGTGGCAGCTATGACAGTGCGTGAACTGTTTGAGGAGCTTGACAGGTATGGCACAGACAGCTGAGGTACATTGTAAAGTGTTTATTTGATCCCTTGCTTCAAATGCATAAACAATACCAAAACAAGGGAACAGCACCTACCAATTGAGGGTAAAAGGAACCTGATTCTGCCAAAACAAGTATTTATCCAAAATAAGGAAAATGGTTTCCTAACATCCTAGTGAAGCAGTGTCCCTTTACTCAAGTGCCTAAAGTGTATAAAGAAACTCCCCAAAAGCCAACTACGGTCTTTTCAAGCTTGACAAAGACCATAGTAGTGGTCAAAATGTTGCTTTGCTTCACTAGGACATGCTGTGCAATTATTCTTTATTTTAACTGCATATGCATGTCGTGCAGAAATGACAGCTGAGTTTATAAACGATATAACTTCATCTATCCAGTATTGCAAAACGATGGCAAAAATATTAGAAAGTTTCATTGTTCAAGATGGAAATTAACTCTAGGCTCCAGGTACAGATATATTAACTACACTTTTGCCAGGGTTCATGCACATCCTTGTGATCAGAGCAGTAAGTGTAACACTGTGCTTTAATGTGTGGCACCCTGGTGTTGAGCATTATGCATTGTTGGAGCACATGGCTGTTCCCCATTGCCCAATCCAGGAAGATAACTGACGGTAAGAAAACAGTTTTACTTGTAGATTTGGTGATCCACTAAGACCCCTGCTAACTTTTCTGGTTTCAATACAGATAATGTTCCCTTGGGTGCTAATTACAGACTGTAAGTGTCAGCTCTGATGTGCACAGGCTATTACTAGCCACCCATTGAGAAAAATGTTTTAGAAAGGTACACCCAGGATTTACCGACCTCATAACAACTTCTCTGACCCAGAGTGGTCCTTTAAATCTCAATTTTTGTAGTGATATAGCTGCATCTATGCCATGAATTGTTAAATAGTATAGCATAGACTTCTCCACCTCGCCATTGACCTCATAATCTACTGAAAGCAAAGCAGAGCTTTAATGAGTTAAGAGAGTAGACTGCTCATTTTCCTCTCCGGAATGTAACCTTAATGGATTGTGTGGATTATTTCAGACCTGCAGCCAGTGATGAGGAGAAAGAGAAACTGAAAGGCAAGAAAGCCAGAGTATTACAAATGCAGAAGATCTGGGCAGGACAGGGCCAGGCACAAAAACTGGGTGATCTCATGGTGATGCTAGGTATGTACTTACAGAGTCAATGATCTGTTAATTTAACACATAACCTGGCAGTCCTGTTGTCATGTGCAAAAATGTGTATATAAGAAAGAATTTTAGCTGTACTGTAAAAGTGAGATTCAGTAGAATTTTACAAATTGTTAAAGTGGCATGTGATTAGAGGTGCAAATTTACATTTATATAGCGTGAATGATGGGGAAAGAATATAATAAAATAGCTTTTATTATCTACTTAAATAATTTACTAGATTAAAAACAAGTCACTTAGACTGGGTCTTATCTATCTAAACTACAAACTACTATTAGGGTTCTATATAGAACTCTAATTTGAAAGATCTAATCTAAACTGTAATCTTTCCCCAATAGAAAGACTACAGGGTTTAAAACAGATTAGAGCTGAACAGTAAATATAACTATTAACCAATAATGTATCTTCCATCTTACCACTTTGCTATCTATGCCAACCTAATAATATAAAGCATAGCTGGTACCCTGAGATATGGCTTGAACCCCACCTTTTGGCATCTTACCTAACTAGTGGAACCGAGTTGGATGTATTGTAGTTTTTTTAAGAAGACCTAGTCTTGTAACTTTACTCTCGTTAACATGCCAAATGGGTTGTGTGAATTTTAGATATTTTGCCCATTTACTTTTTTTTTGTCAGCTGCTGAATAAAAGTAAAGATGCATTGCACCTCTATCTGAGCATATGCTCTCATAAAGCTTGAAGGATCTGTTTTAGCTGTTAGGTAGACCATAACGATATCTAAACCCATTGATTTGTTAGTTCTAAATCCTCATTTGTCAACTAATGCCTCAATTTAATATTTTTTGATACACTTAAAACATTTTTAGATATTACATTAAAAAAAAATTCTAAAAAAAATATATAAAACCAAAATACGAAATAGTTTTTAAAGTTATTCCAAAAATATGACCCCACCTGAAAAGCCTATCCCAAATATTAAATTGAAACCTAGATCAATTGTTTATTAGTGGCGATTTGGATGAGTATATATCTGTATTTCTGATTTCATATATTACCTTACCATAAGCCAAATTGTATTGTAGTTTGGTATATTGTGTGTATCATTGTCCAGTAGAGATTCCACTACCATATATTATTTGATCTCTGCAGTGGGTTACCCAGGAAATTGATGCATGTTTTTATCCACAGGTGCTGTGGGTGCATGTGAGTACAGTGGTCTCACTCCTAAATTCTGTGAAAATAATGGTCTCCGATACAAAGCTATGATGGAAGTAAGACGTTTGCGAGGGCAGCTGACTACAACAGGTAATAGATTATAGGTGCTAGTCAGGCTTCTTTTGTATCCTTTAGCAGAACGCTGACAATGTTTGCTTTTGTCTCCAGTCAACTCTCTCTGCAGTGATGTCCAACTTTTTCTTGACCCAAAAATGAGTCCACCAACAGAGAGTCAGGTGACCTACTTGAGACAGATTGTGATGTCTGGATTGGGAGATCACATAGCCAGAAGAATTAGTTCAGAAGAAATGCTTGATGAGAAATGGAAGAATGCCTACAAGGTTAGCAAGTCCCTTTATTTTAATTCATGAACATTGTGGGTTCCAGTTGGTCTTTTATAACAAATGGTGATGTTGTATATAAGGTTGGAAGCGAAAGGTTAAGATTTGGTGAACTTAACATTTTGAGCAATACAAACCCTCAAACAACAGAAATTGAAAGCCTTAACCATAGTTTACTAGGGTTCATTGAACAATTTTGTGTAACTGAAATGTCCAGATTTAAGGTAAAGAACGAATGGCAGTCTCTAAAGATGATAAAAGATAATCATATCAAAGGTCTTTGCCTGGCTATTTATCTCCATGTAGGTGTAACATGTGTAGGATGTGTACCAGGGTTATTTCTGTTTGTATTTTCCAACAGACCCCGCTTCTGGAGGATCCTGTTTTCATTCACCCAAGCTCTGTCCTGTTCAGACAGCTTCCTGAGTTTGTTGTTTACCAGGAAATTGTGGAGACATCAAAGATGTACATGAAAGGTACAAGTGTTTTTTTACAGGCACACTCCAGTCTCCTACAGCAGCATGTAAAAAACAACAAAATGTTTGAAGAAATAAAGCGTCAGCTCTAACAAAACAGAGAGGGTACACTGGGTTGATGAAGTTAATGCATTTCTTACTATAGTGGAACTCAATTGGGTTCTCTTAACTACATTTCTCTGCAGGCTTATTTTGTAAAAGTGAAACCAATGCTTCTTGATGGGACGCTCTTCTTTGAGCTGGCTAGTGTGAACAAAGCTAGTGAAGCCTTCATGTTGAAATTGGCAATCATTCTCTATGAGTATCGTTTGTGTGTCCCAGTGCTTCTCTATGGACCCAAGTCATCGGAAATGATGATTATCAGGGAGCAGATCAGAGCTGCAGCAAAGAGAAATCTACTGGCAAAAAGAAGAGTTTAATTTATTTTAACCCTCTCAGTGCTGTGGAGGGGGGAGAATGCAGGAATCTAAAGTTTAAGGAGCATTCCAATTAAAAATAAAAACTAAATACCTATGTATATTTCTGTTTATCGACCGGTTCCTTTAATTAAGATTGGTTATATTTAGACGCATGCATTGGAACTTCTAATTCTATAGACATGCAACTCTTGATTATTACAGGGAATAGTGATATGTTCCTGTGATTATTTCCAATTTGTTTGTACCAATTATCTTCTAAAACAAACTAGACTCTGAACTTACACTCTCTTGTCCACAATTCCTCTAGATATGTAGTGAAAGGCTCAATATGTAATTTGGAGAATGACAAAGGCCAGGAAATAACATACTTTTCTGTTTATGGCAGTACATTGTCTGGGGATTGTTCACATTTTCAAATGTAGAAATAATACATATTTAAACATAAAACTATGAAAGTAGAAGATGCAAATTTACATCTGGAAGATTTAGGGCACAAAAACTCCAAGGGGTAGTTAATAAGGATTATAAAATATTGTCTATAAAAGACTTGCGTGTAGGGATCCAACCCATCAAGCAACATTTAGATGTAAATGTTAGATCTAAATGTTAGATCTAACAACAATGTGCAGCCAATAAGTATTCAACAAGAGACACTGCACTTTTATTGTGCAATATACCGTGTGTTCTATTGGCTAATTGCTCAGCCTACTTGTATGTAAGAACCTCCTAGCTCTGCAAGTTTCAAAACGTAGAGAACATGTATATCTGCTACTGTAGTTTAGAAGCTAGTAAATCTGAAAAGTTAAGATTATATAGTAAAAAAACAAAAACCCCAAAACATATATACATATTTAAATGCTTACATGTGCCTATATATTCTGCAGTGCTTTGCAATAGGTGGGCAAGATACAAGAAATGTTAACAACTTTGACTCGCAGAACAATGATCACAGGATTCATTGATGAACAGCTTTTGTGCTTCATTTTCATGTGTACTATAAAAACATTTCCCGTGTACTTAAGCAAGCATGTTATCCTCAAAGTACTGCAGCATCACTGAATCACCGTGATACTTGTTGAATACATGTCTACCCATATTTAATACTGGTACAAAGGAGATGGGGATGGGCAGCACACAACTTAAAATTTGGGTGCATATCTCCAAGGTCTCCTTCCACTTGCCTCATAAACAGTATAAAAGAACCATAATGAGCCGCAACACCAAAATAAATGACAGATTTATTTCACCTGTGTGAAACTGGCAACGTTTCGATTCACCCTGAGGTTTAGCTGAAACGCTGGTGGAATAAATCTTTGTAATTTATTTTGGAATTGAGGTTCTTTATTGGTTTTCATAAGTAATACTGAGCCACTAACCTATATGTTGGTATATCTACTTTTCCTGTACTTAGTGTAATGTTCTTGTATTTAGGTGTATCAACCATTGAATCTGAGTGGATCCCTGCCTTGCTACCGCAGTACTGTCACTTTGGAAATCCCCTGGAAAAGCCCACTCCATATTACTGCCCAGAATCCGGAATGGTGAAGTGTCACAGGCCAAGCACTTTCTGTATGTATGCAAGCACAAATGTTCCCATGATTCCAAAGAAATTGCATCATTTACGTTTACTTTTTTGTCTTTTCAAAATGAGCAGTGCAGCAGGATCTAGTCAGGCTATATCCTCTGTCAACACAAGTGTTCATAAAAAAGGAATAATGTTTGTCTTCACATGCTCTAAAAGTGGCTCACAGTGCTTGCCTCTGGACTTTTTTGGAGTTTATTTGGCAAACTGTGAACTGGGGCAAGTTGAATTGGCAAATAGTCTAATACAGCAAAGTTAAAAAAAAGAGAAAAAACAAAACTAGAAAATGTATCCACCTTAAATATGTTGACATTCAGTTTTTACGTCACCGTTTTTAGAACGTTTTTTTTTTCTCCAGTAAGAGCACAGTTCTCAATATTGCAAGAACAATCAAAACCATGAACAGGCTTTTTAAAGCTTGCTTCCTTCATTTCATGTACCTTTGCTGTGGAGGATATGGTGGTTGCTCTCCCCACTTTTTAAACTGTTTACCACCAAAGTCATTTATATATGCCAGGAGCTCATTCTGAAAAGAAATACCCCCCTCTACCCTACCTTTCCAAACAATACACTAATCGTGCTTTGCTAAACTGCTATCCTTTCATCGAAACAAAGCAATTTATTTGTTCCAGCTTCAAATTTATAGAAGAAACCTTTTATGGTTAATTTCATATACATTAAGTTTCATTATCTGTCAAATCTTTTATCCTACAGATCGAGTTGGTTGGGAGCTGCCTTCCGTTGTTGCCACTTATCCAGAAGGTCTAGAACGCTACAAATATTTTGCAAAGTTCCTACTAGAAGGAAAGGTACTAGTCAAGTTGTATAATTTTATAATGCCTCTTAAAGGGACATGGATCACTTGGCATTTTTTAAACAGGCAAGCAAAGACTTTTAAACAAATATACAAACCAAATAAAGCAAGAAAAAAATTGAAAATATGTAATAAGTTTTATAAACTTTCTATAAAAATAGTCAGATTGCATTGTTGGGCACACCTCTCAGCTAGGGGAGTTTTTTTTTCAAAATTCCCTCCTTCTCCCTCTTACCAACCCATCTCAATTTCAGACCAGTCCACTTATGACCGAAATAGGGCATCATTGCGCAGCAGCAGGTGAGAGAAACCAAACACCAGAGTCTGCACTGCGTGAAAACGCTCTTCTCCCCCAGTTAGGATGTTGCAAGGTGAAAAGATCTTCCAACTGCTCATGTGTGTCTGTAAGGCATGCCCAATGCATATTTCCAGCATTCCTAGGGATAGGACACTTATTGGTTACATCAGTGTCCCTCAGGAGCAGGTTTGGAAAGCATAAGAAAAAGCAGATAAATATAAACAAAACAAATCGTATTTACCTGCTTTTTTAACCTGCAGAATGAGGCAATTGTCTCATTCACGCCTAAAGCTTTTGAATTAAACAGTTCTCAAAGTAATACATGTCCCTTTTAAGGGTAACCTGTAACGGAAAAATTATTTGCCTTAAATCGCTTCCATATACATTGAATACTCCATGTATCATAAAGGTACATAGTGTATTCAATGTCAAATATAAAGATTTACTCACTTTTCCACCATTCAGAGCAGCTTTGTGGGTGTTACTCTTCGTTTAATACCCACCTCTTGGCCGTCCTCCGCGCTCCTCTATTCTTCTTTAATTTGCCCTGCTTTGGACGCATCCCCTAGCAGGGCAAATCTAGTTAGTGATGTCAGCAGCGTTGGACCAGGAGTGACGTTACTCCTTCCTATACTCCCTAACCAGCACTAAGGAATTTTTATAGGTACTGCAGTGCATGCCCTGTGGTTGCTATGGGATGAGAGCAGAGAGACCTCCTGTGGTGGAGGTCTTTTCTGCTCTACCTTATAAGTCAGTGCCTTGCCACGCCTTGACTGAGCTGGTGAAAAAACTATTTTAAAATAGTTTTATTTTCCTAATGTATACATTTGCTAGAAAAACTGGTAGCACGGTGTATAGATAAAATCTTAGTGTTGTTTGGAGAATGACTGGTACCCTTTAAGCCAGGGATGTTACTAGGTGGCATAAAAAAAGCCAGTGCTTGAATCCAGGGGTAGATTTTATGGATGCTTTTGTGTTTATTGACTTTGGCAACTCCTAAAACCCTACCATGCCCTGTGTCCAACTCTAATGTTGTTTATAATCACATTTACACCAAATATTTGAGAATTATTTAAAGTATTGTATAAACCTATACTTGGGAACTACCCATCTGATTATGTATTAAAGGACCACTATAGGCACCCAGACCACTTCAGCTCAATGAAGTGGTCTGGGTGCCAGGTCCATCTAGGGTTAACCCTGCCTGCTGTAAACATAGCAGTTTCAGAGAAACTGCTATGTTTAGCTATGGGTTAGTCTAGCCTCTAGTGGCTGTCTCATTGACAGCCGCTAGATGCTCTTCCGCGCTTCTCACTGTGATTTTCACAGTGAGAAGACGCCAGCGTCCATAGGAAAGCATTGAGAATGCTTTCCTATGGACTGACTGACTGCGCGCACGGCTCTTGCTGCGCATGCACATTCAGCCGATGACGTCCAAAGGAGGAGGAGAGACCCCAGCGCCGAGGTGAGTGTTTAACCCCCTTCCTCTCTCTTCAGCCCAGTGGGAGTGGGACCCTGAAGGTGGGGGCACCCTCAGGTCACTATAGTGCCAGAAAAACAAGTTTGTTTTCCTGGCACTATAGTGGTACTTTAATAAACACTGCTCTGCACAATGTACCTTGCTTATAGTCGAGTGTTGTAACCACATGTGCTTTGATTCAAACGTTTATTCTATTTTTATTCCTTGACTTCTTTGTTTAGGTCATCAAGAAATTAGGCTCTTACACCAATGTTTTGTTGTCCAGCCCAATAACAATGATAAAATCCTGGGCTAAGTAAGTATTAAATCATTTTAATTAAAAGTTAACAATGTAGCATTGTTATATCTAATGAAACCTAGAGTAAATTTTAAGTCTGATATTGTCATAGTAAATTTTGTTTTTCTTTCTGGCAATATTTGTTTATAGTAGTGTTTTATGTTGGGCTGTGATACAATGTTCTAGTACTTGTTAAACCAGCCTCTATAATCAAATTACATATTGCTCTTTCATTATTAGCTATTGTTAAAATATTTGTTCTAAAAAGAAACTGCTAAAGGAACCTAAATTGGTTGTTTAATTATTTTATTATTTTTCTTCTTCCGTGTCCAGACTCCAGCCCAGAACAGAAGTCTTACTAAAAGCTCTTGTTTCTAAAAATTGTGACAACAAGCCTGCATTACTGGCTGCCTGGAAAAGAGACCCGAAATGTAAGTTCCTTTTTATTTGTCTTATGTCTATGCATGTGTCTTTAATACCAGATAGCAATTGTTTTGTGTTGGCACATATTACATGCACATATTACATGTCACATATATTTGGGAATTGTATTACTAATGTTGCCCAGAAAGCCTTTATTATAATTTTCTGTTTTCATGTCCAAAATCTATTGTAATTATGCAGGTGTAGCATCTAAAAAAAAAAGTACCTTACTAGTCTGCTATGATCAATATAATAAAGATTTTATATATGATTATATATCACAATATTTAGATAATATGATAGCTATAGTTGTGTTTGATACTTAACATCAATTTAGGAAATAATGGCATTAATAGAATCTGGAGGCATCCTTTAACCACGCAAAGCTAGCAATATTTTCCTTTAACATGCAATTCACTGTTTATCTTTAAAAGGGCACAATAGGCACCCAGACTTCATCTCAATGAGTGCAGTGTCCCTGGCATCTTAGCCTTGCACTCTAAAACATTGCCGTGTAGTCGATGCATCATTAATTCTTTCTTCCTACCATTAATAATATGCAAGACGAGTGGCCCATCATGTTTCACTCTCAGTAGCTCACCTGTCCCATATGTAAATAAAGCAAGAGTGTGATTCCTGTCATCAACGTGTGTGTTTTGGTGCTGAACTGAGATTGAAATTATCCAAGCTCGGACTATAGTGGAGGTGGATATTTTTTCCAAATTGGCTATATTTGCCTAAACTTTGCTGTTTGGATTTTAGTGAATCCACCTTTATGTTTAGCATGCTCCATTTTAGCGTTAATGCTTAATGAATCTTGGGATGCAGTTTATCTGAATGTTCTTTAACAATTCTTTTTTTTTTTTTCTTAGATTTGTTATCTCCATTTTGCCAGTGGCTCCCAGAAGCCATCCATGAAGAAGTTTTGCAAGCTTGGCCACCAGTGGCAACGTGAACACTGAATGTAAAATGTGCCTTATAGACTTTGACTGGGACAAAATGTAGATTGACTGGGTGTCCAACCCATCATTATATGAAAATCTCTACAGTGGCATTTTTTGACACTGTACTCTTTAACACTTTTTTTTTAACTTAGCCATACATTGGAACAATGTAAAATACAATCATACAAACATGTGAGATGGTTACTTTGCACACACAGATGTTATGTACTAAACATTGTATTATATGTACATAATGGATACAAATAAAAATGTGAAGTTGTGAATGCTTGATCACCTTGCATGCCTGTATACTTTGCATCCTGCAGGAAGCTACTGTTCCTTTTTTCTCGTGATTGAACTCGGTCGGAAGTAAGAAAATCAGTGTGCATTGCTACCAAAAATATGCCCCTCTGGCAGTCATAAGATAATGACTAATGTACAAAGCGAAAATCAAGCAGGAACTAAGCCAGCAGCAGGGAGTACAGTACAACAGGGATAGGATACAGCCATGTAATTATACTGCATATGAGGAATTAGACTACTTGGTACTAGACAAAAACATAAGCAATAGTTTGTATAAAAAAAAAGTCACCATACAAAGACTGTACTATTTGTACCCAGCTATATTTCCTTCATTGAAGGGTCTTTGTCAAGCTTGCTCGCCGTATAAATGCATTTCTTATTTGCGTGAAGCGAGGTAAGTACTTGAGATGTAGTATTTCTTTCCTTTTGTTCCATATAGTCATATCCGGTTTCTTGCCAAGGTTGCAACCACTATAAGAGAAAGTAGTGTTTTATTGGATATATTCCTATATCTATAGTTTACATGTAAGTTTTAATCATTTCACTTTCACTGCATGTAGCACTATGTGCAGGCAGTTATGACTATATTCTCAGTAGGGGATGTAGCTCAGTGGTAGAGCGCATGCTTTGCATGTATGAGGCCCCGGGTTCAATCCCCGGCATCTCCACTCTTTTTTTTTTTTTAAATTTCACCTCTGCTTACCATACTGTTTGTGTGTGTGTGTTTGTGTGTGTGTGTGTATAAATACATACACACACATATAACAACATGCATGACATACACTCTGGATTGTGTATGTATAGAGAGTGTGTATATATATATATATATACACAAACAGTAAGGTAAGCATATAAAAAATGTGGATGGGCAGAGGTGAAATAAAAAAAAAAAATATATATATACACACACACACACACACACACACACACAAAATCCTGCATGTTGTTAGAATGTTCTATAAGTTATTTCCCCTGCCCATCCACATTTTTTATATGCTTACTAAAACCTTACTGTTTATGTGTGTGTGTATATATATATATATATATATATATATATTAAATTGGAACTGTACCTTGCACACTGGCTTCTGGAACTTCCAAGACCGGGTGCATAGCCTGGGCTTCACAATCAATATAGGCAAATAGAATGGCTGCACTCTCGGATTTCCATAAAAAATAACTTTTATTCTGTTTCCATAAAATCGACGTTTCAGTCCATCTTGTGGACTTTCATCAGGATTACCAAAATTACAAACTCTTAGATCTTATATAGTGGATACAATCATTGTAAAATATGATAACAACTTACCCCAGGTGTTGAGTGTGAGACCGGCGTCCTAGCCGCGAAAGTGCGCATGCGTGAACAAGCCCCGCCCTATTTTGTGACGTCACCTCGTGCCGCTGCCGTCGCTGTCATGGCAACGCTGTAAAATGCGGTTTCCATGGCAGCTAGGTAGCTGCTGCTCTCGTAACCTGTGTACATGCAGTGTTAATGTGAGAGGAATATAATCATTAATAATGATAGTATGGGAATCCTTTCCCTAAGGTATATTAAAGTGCTAGAAGTGAAATATATAGGATGGGATGTGCAAATATATTCATCCCGTCCCTATGTACTACAGTGGGATGATATAAAGTGCCAATTAGAATATGATATTAACTACTAAAGTGCCAAGTGCTGTGCTGGAAAATCAAAGTAAAACATGAATGCAAATACGTGAAAAAAAAATATATTAACATACAAATCTATAGGCATCCTAACAATAGAATCAAGGTACATATATATACATATTCACACTTCTATATATACATATATACGTAGTAAAGTAGAAGTGACAGCTATATATTCATGGACTATTACTTTGTAAAAATATGGGAGACTGAAAAGATTTATAATGCTAATCATATATACTTTCTAAATCCCAATTAACTAGAGAGGGATGAGTAATATATCTGATTACTACAAAGCAAAGCGAATCCCAAGAGGATTCAGAATTCACAATATTCCAACTATTGGGCGGACCAAAGCAGCGGTCTGCAGAGAGTGGACACATGTCCTGAATAAAGCGTCATTGGATTTGATGCTTATCATAATAAAGGATGTCAAAGCAGATTTAATCGATACCAACCAGAAAATTACACAATTGGAATTGGAACATGCAATACTGTTTACCTCCCCGGAGGGTGTGAAGATTGCACAAAAACTTAAAGAGGAAACTTTGAAATATAAAACAGAATTGATACATTTCAAAAAGCAAAAATTTGAAAAGGTAGCTCAAGATTACTTGGACCATAGGGTGTATGGGTGGCTAACAGGTAGAACCTACACCCAGAGACCAAGAAGACAACGAAGAAGGATCCAAAAACCAAAAGTCCATACAGTTGACATAACTTCAGGTGAATCAGCTTCAGACACAGACACCAACAATCCAACCCAGGTCAAAACAGTGGCTTTTTTAGAAACTATGGAAGTAGGAACAGTGACCAGGAGCCGAGATGTAAGAAGCGAAGAACAAGAACTAGAAGAAGTCACAAGAAAAAAATTTGTGCAGGGGAGACCGCCACGCAGGAGATAATCCCCATATTCAATTTATCACAGAGACAACTAACACAAGCAGAAGTGGACCTTCTTAGTAAGGGGTTGTCTTTTGTGCCCACATCAAAATCAGACCCATTTAAATGGAAAATTGAACTGCATAAATTCGGAAGATCTATGAGACTGAAAGAATATTTTTCCACTTCCAAGGACACCGGAATTGGAGATGAGAGAACTAAAGCAGACCCATTCAGGATGAAATCGACCTTTGATCCGATATCCAATAAAGCTTCCATCAAAACATTTTTATCTGTTATGAATAAGGATGTACAGACATATATGCAACAAGATAAAAAAACAAAACAAAATATCTCTGGACAACAGAGGAGGATTATAAGAGAATTAGCGGAAGACCCCACAATTGTAATACGGTCAGCTGACAAGGGGGGAGGCATAGTAATTTTGGACTACACTTATTATGCCGCTGAACTGAGAACTCAATTGTCTGATCACAACACCTATATGTTATTAGATGGAGATCCTACGAAAAATATCCAAAATAAAATAGATGAAATTTTAACTATGGGCCTGGCAGCAGGCTACATAGATTTGAAATTGAAACAATACCTTACAACACAACACCCTCGGACTCCAATAATCTACTCCATTCCTAAGATACATAAGAACGCAACAGAGCCACCAGGGCGGCCTATCGTTTCAGCAATAGGAGGAATACTAGAACAGATTGCTAAATGGCTGGACCACCTGTTTCAAGAACCAATAAGGCAATTGTATACATGTATTAAAGATACTCAAACTCTGATAACCAGTATCAAGGAGATCCAGTATGATCATAAACCAGTCCTTATAACTATGGACGTACAAAGTTTGTACACAATCATTCCACACGAAGAAGGTGTGGAGGCCATGCGCCAAGTTTTGGTACGATCTACTGTATACAAGGGTCCCCCTATTGAATATGTGTTGGAACTCCTTACTCTCACTTTGCAAAATAATTACTTCAGGTTTGAGGATGCATGGTACCTCCAAGTAGCGGGTACTTCTATGGGGGCCGCCATGGCACCCATGTACGCTAATGCGTACATGTTCATATATGAAGAAAAACAGATACTGCAACGATATGGGAGCAACATATTATCATACCATAGATTCATCGATGATCTGCTTATCATCTGGAATAAGTCAACACAAGAGGCACAGAATATGGTCCAGGAGCTCAACACATTACAAATACCAGTCAAATTTACAGCGGACATCAGCGAGGAAACGGTGAACTTTTTGGATTTACAGATAACAGTAGGATCCTCTAAACTGCAATACTCTCTTTATACCAAACCTACGGATAGGAACACCATACTTCATTATCAAAGTGCACATCCGATGGCGCTTAAAAATTCATTACCAAAAGCGCAGTTCCTACGAGTTATAAGGAACAACTCTGATGCTCAAATCATGGAAGCACAGATAAAAGAAATGAAAATTAAGTTCTTACAAAGGGGTTATGATAATTGCATCCTCGAGACAGCGCTTCAAGAAGCACGAATGGCACGCGCTGTTGAAATTAAGAACAAGTCATCACAATTAGTGTTCCAAATGGTATATCACCAAACTTCTCCACAAATAGCCGCTTCACTTAAGAAGAACTGGAAAATATTAAAAAGTGATGAAACACTGCCCAATGTGTTCAAGGAAGCACCAACAATATGCTATAAACGAAATAAAAATCTGAAAGACCTTTTAGTCCATACAGATTCAGTAGCCAGTTACCAGAAGGTGTCAAAAGAACAGAAGAGAGGATCGGTAAGGTGCCTAGGATGCGTTACATGCAGTCACATGACGCCGTCAAAGACGTTTAATCACCCACATAGAAATAAAATCTACACAATTAGATACACAATTACATGTAAAACTACACATGTAATCTACAAATTAAGTTGTCCATGTGGACTTTGTTATGTCGGGAAGACGGAAACAGCAATATGTGAACGCATCAGAGGACACAGGTCCAGTATTCGATTAGCTTACAGGGATGGCCATACAGATAAACCTGTGGCGAAACACTTTTTGGAAAAAAGACATATGCTAGCTACATTAAAGTTCATAGCAATTGACCATATACCACCTCCCAGAAGAGGAGGGGATAGGGGGAAAATGCTACTGAATAAAGAAGCATTTTGGATATATGAACTAAATACAGTTGCCCCTAATGGACTAAATGAAGCGCTATCCTTACACTCGTTTATATGATACCACCTTTTGACCCTTGCTTGCCCAAGTTATTTATTATTTAGTATTTTTAATATTGTATAGTTTTAGATATATAGTTTGGCAGACGTGACAGCTCTAAAGGGTGGACTAGTGGGAGCTAATATAAATAAATATAAATAAATATATACATTAATACATATATACTCATCCCTCTCTAGTTAATTGGGATTTAGAAAGTATATATGATTAGCATTATAAATCTTTTCAGTCTCCCATATTTTTACAAAGTAATAGTCCATGAATATATAGCTGTCACTTCTACTTTACTACGTATATATGTATATATAGAAGTGTGAATATGTATATATATGTACCTTGATTCTATTGTTAGGATGCCTATAGATTTGTATGTTAATATATTTTTTTTCCACGTATTTGCATTCATGTTTTACTTTGATTTTCCAGCACAGCACTTGGCACTTTAGTAGTTAATATCATATTCTAATTGGCACTTTATATCATCCCACTGTAGTACATAGGGACGGGATGAATATATTTGCACATCCCATCCTATATATTTCACTTCTAGCACTTTAATATACCTTAGGGAAAGGATTCCCATACTATCATTATTAATGATTATATTCCTCTCACATTAACACCGCATGTACACAGGTTACGAGAGTAGCAGCTACCTAGCTGCCATGGAAACCGCATTTTACAGCGTTGCCATGACAGCGACGGCAGCGGCACGAGGTGACGTCACAAAATAGGGCGGGGCTTGTTCACGCATGCGCACTTTCGCGGCTAGGACGCCGGTCTCACACTCAACACCTGGGGTAAGTTGTTATCATATTTTACAATGATTGTATCCACTATATAAGATCTAAGAGTTTGTAATTTTGGTAATCCTGATGAAAGTCCACAAGATGGACTGAAACGTCGATTTTATGGAAACAGAATAAAAGTTATTTTTTATGGAAATCCGAGAGTGCAGCCATTCTATTTGCCTATATATATATATATATATATATATATATATATATATATGTGTGTGTGTATACTCTCTATACATACACAATCCCCAGTGTGTGTCATGCATGTTGTTATATATATATATATATATGTATGTATGTATGTGTGTGTGTGTGTATGTGTATATATATATATATATATATATATATATAATCTCTATACATACACAATCCTGTGTGTATGTCATGCATGTTGTTAGAATGTTCTACAAGTTATTTCTAATAACATATTTGTAAATATGTTACAATCAGGACAGATCTGCTGTTCTATGTAATGTAAGACCTCTGTGTGATGTGATGAGATTTTAGTGTTATGTGTGTTCCACATTCTAGAATGTATTCAGTATGAATGCACAGTAAAGCCTTTATGAGACCCCCATCCATATTAGCAGCCCCCCTAAACCCTTCCAATTATTTTTCTACCTTTGTCCCCCCTTTTACCTGACATAGCAGGGGGACCTCTGGACGTCTGGCAGGCACAGTGTCAGACTGAGCGCTGGGTAGTCACGTGACAGGGCCGGTGCAAGGATTTTTGCCAACCTAGGCAAAAGTAAAGTTTGCCGCCCCACCCTCCATGTGACATCACAATGCCCCACCCATATGATCTGCCATGTTAACTAACGCCAGTGCTGGAGTGCCGCCGTGTTTACATTAAAAGGCCTGCAGGGACAGGCTATAGACACCAGAACCACTTCATTAAGCTGCAGTGGTTCTGGGGACTATAGTGTTTCTTTAATGAGAGGTAAATTAGAGATTAGTGCCACGAATAATATACTAGATTGGCTACTTACAACCAGATGAGGATGATGATGGGCTCTGGCTGCAGTTTGGCTCCACTGGTCTGGTGTAGAACAGGCTCTCTGGAGGCTGTTTGTAACTGTGGTCACAAAAATCAATGTTCTGGGAGAACGGGAAGCAGCTCCATTTTTTGGGGCCCTTTACACAGCTCAAGGTCTGGGTCCCAGGGTCCACCTTCATGTTCCACCAATGAGTTTGTTCACAGGGGGTGGAGTGTGTAGGGGATGCATTGTGTGAATCTGTGTTTGTATGTGTAAGGGCTGCAAGGTGTGTTTCTGTGTATGTACGGGATGCAGTGTGTTTGTCTGTAAGGGGTGCATTTAGTGTGTGTAAGGAATGCATTGTGTGTTTCCTTGTGTGTAAGGTTTGCATGATTGTGCGTGTGTGTGTGTGATGATCTCTCTCCCTCCCTTGTCACTCTCTTTCTCCCTCTCCCTCCCTTGTCACAAGACCACGCAGGGCTGTTATTTAAAAAAAAAAAAAAAATCTAAAGCTTAAACGTGAACAATATATCCCTAAACAAAATGTGCTCTTCTCTATCATGCAATGACAATGTCGAAATGTTATGTTGTTGTGACAAGGCAGTCTATTTTTCCCTGCACCAAAAAAATAAAGAATTATAAAAAAGAAAAGGGAAAAAATCACAATACGAGTTACTATCTGTTCCCATATGTTCCCATATGTTCCCATATTTAGCACAATATCCCAAGTCAATCCTCGTTAGTATAGTGGTAAGTATCCCCGCCTGTCACGCGGGAGACCGGGGTTCGATTCCCCGACGGGGAGGCGTATTTTTATCCTTTTTTTGCATAAAGGATTACTCATGCGTTATCTATGTTTTGTTATATTTTTATTGGCATTGTCAACTTACTAGCCCTAAACTTTGTATCTAATAGTTTTTTCGATCTCTTCTATTTAGATTTCTTTTTAACAGCAAAATATGAAACGTATGTATGTAGATAGACAGCTACAGCTATGTACTGTTGTGTGAACTTACTTTACATCAGCCGAAATAGCTCAGTTGGGAGAGCGTTAGACTGAAGATCTAAAGGTCCCTGGTTCGATCCCGGGTTTCGGCAAACTTTTCTTCCAAAGAAATAAATATTATTTAGCTATCATTTTGTTTCCAAAGTCCTTCTCCAAATGCATGGTTTATTACATGTCAAATGACATAGCTCAATTACTGAAATAATAAAGAAAAAGAGGAACACAAAAGTTTCAGATCCAGTTCTATAATAAAGTTTATTGATATCTCAATACATTGGTAGGTAGTCGAAGTGTACTGTACTTTCTCTTTCCGCTGTTATATTTAATATATTCTTCATTTGTAGACAGCCATGTTACAGTCACAATGAATAATAGTGCGCACAGACAGAATCCACTCACAACCATACTGATGCAACACATAATAAGCATTACCGAAAAGACAATAGCAAAATAAAACCAATTAAATTTTTTAATGTAAAACTAACATGAACCAAACTAGCCAAAGTGTTTTGGGTGCAAAGCCCTGCTATCGAGTTGGCCTCTGATGTGAACACATTGAGTCAGTGTTATAGATCACTTACAAAGAAACCAGAAGGGGAACAGACCCATTCCCAGCATAAAATTGAAAATGGAGATGCCGGGGATTGAACCCGGGGCCTCATACATGCAAAGCATGCGCTCTACCACTGAGCTACATCCCCTCCTACAGATACGAGTTCTGAGATAATGTTCTATGATATATCGAATATAGCGTGATGGAATAAACAATGAAAATAAAGCCTCCCCGTCGGGGAATCGAACCCCGGTCTCCCGCGTGACAGGTGGGGATACTTACCACTATACTAACGAGGATTAGCTGTAAGAGCTTTTGAAATATACATATACATACTATAAATATTAATAATAGCTTATAAGTATATCCCAAACAATATACAATCGATAAATAATATAGAAAGCAATAGTACTTAGCTTATAAAGATGTATGACAGCCTCCCTAGGTCGTTACCCAAACAAGCGACCTATATCATATATAGTATAAACCAAAACAGAGAAGATTCGGGATATGGCTGTGTAAATCTACAGAGAAAGCATAAAACAAAACATAGTGTGATATTGTTATAAAACACAATATTTCATGCGCAGTAATCTTGTGCACTCACAGGATGTAGGCAGTAAAAGCGCTCTTAAGGTGCCTTCCCCAATGGAATGGGGGGCTAGCTGGTATTCCTTATCACCTCTGGATCCTTGTATCACCAAAAGACATCCACAGGTCAGGGTTCAGTAATAAAAAATTTATTTAGATAAAAAGTGTAGTCACCAATTCAGCATAGGATACAAATAACAGAAGGTTGTCCTACGCGTTTCGTTCTATAAGAACTTCCTCAGGGACCACAATTAAAAACAATAATAACAATGTATCAATGTACAATACATAAACATATCCTATACACATCCCCCCTCCCTGTGTCCTTAAATAGGGCTAATCCCTAAAGTCTATTGGTGGATCCAGTAGGCGTGTAAATCCTCCTTGGTTCTAATTGGAGGACTGATCTTCCTGTGGCAGCTGTTTGTCATCCATTCATTTTCCATAATTTGTAATTTGCGCCTTTTTCGGCAAATACCGGAAGTGGTCATAATTTGCCGAAACCGGAAGTGACGTCGCGGGAACGTCCGCGTTCCACATGCGTTCCACCAGTAACGTCTCCATGGCAACCGGGCGCGATCAAGTCATTCAAAAGGTCAAATGGAACACAGGACAAATAAAAAGCCCCATTCTGCTTGAGAAAAAAAACTGTTAACCATTTTTAACATATTTAGCCGTTATTTATGTATATATATCTGTTGAGTATCACCCTCCTCATTAATCCCATCACACAACATAATGTTAATCCTCATATTGTACCAAGTAATCATAATACCTCAGTATATTATAAGCCTAAGGCTTCGTATTACAAAGTGATCATATTTCCTATGTCTATTATTTAAAAGGTTTTTTTTTTTTTTTTTTTTATAACTTTATACATTGTTAATCAAAGTGAACACCGTAATCAATTCATCACTGTATCAGTTTAAACTTCAATTTGTCGTGTTATATATTTGTACTCCCCATAAAAATCTTTGGGATAAACCTATTATACACATTGAAATAATCCATTGCTATGGTTACACAAAAACGGGGGTTAGTAGATTGTGGCTACAAAATAACTACTTCCCATATAAACTTTATTTAGTGAATCTACCACATTCAATTTATACCAGCTCTAAAAAACCTTAGAGCAAATCCATTATTTATATTAGAATAATCGGTTATTGTGTTTTTATTATAGTCTTTTGTGATTTTTGGTCATATAGGACAATAGATCACAAATTGTAAAAAAAGAGATAAAATAAAATATAAGAGATATAAAATAACTACCTGGTATTTGATATATATATAAATCCTCTCTCTAAGTAGGGATTAGCTTTCAACTGTAGAAACAACCCAAATTAAAGGCAAACACACATATCCCAGTTTCTGCTATGTTTATAAAAAGATGGGTTAACCCTAGCTGGACCTGTCACCCAGACCACTTCATTAAGCTGATGTGGTCTGGGTGCCTAGAGTGGTCCTTTAGTGAAGTGGTCTGGGTGCCAGGTCCATCTAGGATTAACCCTTTTTTAAATAAACATAGCAGTTTCAGAGAAACTGCTATGTTTATAATTTGGTTAATCCAGCCAATGTAATCAAGCCAATGTAATCCAGCCAATGTAATCCAGCCAATGTAATCAAAGGGGAACCTAAATGGGTTAAGCCTTCCCCCAAAGCCTCTAGCGGCTGTCTCATTGACAGCCGCTAGAGGCGCTTGCGTGCTTCTCACTGTGAAAATCACAGTGAGAGCACGCAAGCGTCCATAGGAAATCATTGTAAATGCTTTCCTATGAGACCGGCTGAATGCGCGCGCAGCTCTTGCCGCGCATGCGCATTCAGCCAAATGGGCAGAGAGGAGGAGGATCGGAAGAGGAGAGCTCCCCGCTCAGCGCTGGAAAAAGGTAAGTTTTTACCCCTTTCCAGAGCCGGGAGGGAGGGGGTCCCTGAGGGTGGGGGCACCCTCAGGGCACTATAGTGCCAGGAAAACGAGTATGTTTTCCTGGCACTATAGTGGTCCTTTAATCTGAAGTGGTCTGGGTGCCTATAGTGGTCCTTTAAGGCATTAAAATATATAAATAAAATATATCAACACATTAAATATTTTTAAAAAGGTTAATCAATGAATATTAAATCATTTTAAATGCTTATCCAAAAACATTAAACCGATACCTTAGTTAGAAAAAAACATTGGTTTTTAATAACCCTTTATTTATTTGTTGAATTGTAAACTGTCTGTAATTCAACGTGAATTTCACATTTTAGGCAAAAGAAAATCCAAAGTGAAAACATTGCTGAACAGGATTTTTTAAATTTTTTTTTACCAATCCAGCTACTTTGGCCTAAAACATTGAAACTGACCCCTGGGACTGTGTACCAGCAATGAACACACCACACCGTCTTTATATGTTTATTAATTTTTATTAAGGAATAGAATTGCTCTGTGACTGCATTTTATGCGCTTTCTCCTCTGGTCCTCCATAAAGACACATGAATAATTAGAGGTGCCAAGCCCTGTCCAGCCCCGGCCCGCACTGTGTGACTGGCTCTCATTATTACACGGTGAGTCCAGGGATTTCCAGAGCCGCCTCATTACCTCACTGTTTGTGCACAATGTAGTCCCGGCGAAGCGCCCACCCGCCACCGGGCCAATCTCCACCCATTACATATCCATACACCTTATATGCTTACTGGAAAAAATCTCCGTAAAACTCGCACTTTAGAAATGACAGCCTTCTCGTTGTGTTACTAACACGGATACTTTAAACCAGGCGATGATATCCTAACCCGGTGATCACCGCGCGACCCTCTTCATATAGTCCCTCCCTCCCAGGCCCCTTCCTCGGAGGGATACAGTGCGCGTACTATATAAGGCCCGCCCTTTGTCCGCTCACTGCAGTTGTGTTCAGACAGATATTGGCGCAATAACTGTGGTTAGTGTGTCAGCTTATCGGATACAGCAGTAAGTATGGCTGATTTGTTTAATATGTTTGTACGGAGGCTGTACTCCGTGTGATTAGTTAGTTGGCGTTAATTATTACTTGGCGGTGCCAGGCGGGCTGGGTGTGAGGGCGATGTATTAGGCGGATTGCCAGGCGGGCTGGGTGTGAGGGCGATGTATTAGGCGGATTGCCAGGCGGGCTGGGTGTGAGGGCGATGTATTAGGCGGATTGCCAGGCGGGCTGGGTGTGAGGGAGCGCCGTGCCTGGGGAGAGGTATTATTATTATTATTATTATTATTAGGCGGGCTGGGTGTGAGGTGGTAGCCCCGGGCTGAAGTGGATCCTGGGCCGTTATTCCCGCTTAGTAACCCGATATTACAGCGGATTACTCCGCATTGTATTAATCTCGGTGTTGCGTAGACTGGCTCTGGGTGCCGTGTCCTCTCACTGCGAGGCGCTCGCTAAGATGGCGCTTTCAATTATCACAAAATGCCGTTATCTCCTCGCGCGCTAGGGGTGCCAATGAGTATCTCTGACGTCAGAAGCGTTACTAAGGGGACGGCGCGTGATGTGGCTGTGACGTGTCATGCTGTGGGGTGGGGGTGGGGCCTGGCTCTGTAGCACAGCTGCTGAGCAGAGTGGGTCTGACAGCTCACCCATGGGAGGCTTCATGGACTCGGGTGTCCTTGGGGGTGTGTGTGAAGATAACGTGTCTCTTTTGGGGTGTGTTTCTTGGTGTGAGTTTAGTATAGAATAAGCTTCTTATGATGTTTAAAACCTACAGCAACTTTAGGGCTTCGCCTCTTCAGGTATAATCAAGTGTTTGATCTCGAGATCAGTGTAATGTTTGTCTTGATCTGGTAATGTCTTATTTCTAAATGTAGTGTAGGTCTCTAATGCAGAATTCAATAAGGGTTGCTGTTGAAATATGCTTTATGCACCCTGCAAAACTGTGTACATTATCAGTCTTTCAACACTTCAGGATCTTCAAAGGGGAACCTAAAACCTCTGTCCATCCATATTTGTCTTCAATGTCCTGCCATTTAGAAGTAAAATCATTGTTTGTCATGTAGCTTTAGTTGTGCCTTCCCTGGCTTTGACTGACCAAGCCTGCTTTGTGGAAAATGGCTTCATGTTTTAATCTGACATGAAGTTGTTTGAGATGGTTTTTATCTTCTGCTCACACATGGGGGAGGCTTCTGCATGGGTTTAGGGGTTTATTAACAGAGCAGAAGAAATTCTAGACTAAACCGTCCTGTACAGGAATCTATAAACAAGCCATTTTCCCATGAAGTGTAGTACAAAGATGTATTCCTGGCACTATCGCTTCCCCCTCCCTAGTAAATAGTTAAATAAAACTTTACTTGCCTGATCCCAGCGGTGATGTCCATTGACGCTGGGTCAAAGCTGCTCCTCCGTCCAGCATCGAGCGGGCTCTAATGCCCATGCATGGCAAATGCCCCATGCACACTAGACCCAATTTTTCTCCTATGGGGACAAAACTGACATGCAGAACATGAGGACATCCAGCAGCAGATTACTGCACCAAAGGTCTGTTTCAAACCAGGAAGCCCACACTTACAAGAGGGTGACTTATTGCTGCAATGTAAACATTGCGGTTTATCTGGAACTGCAATGTTTAAACATTGCAGCACAAAAGACAATAGGGACTCTAACCAGACCGCTGAAGTGGCCTGGGTGCTTAGTGTCCCTTTAATACACAGAACGTATTCTAAAATACTTTGTTTTTGCTCCTCCGTTTACTACAATACCTGATGTCACTGCTCCATACACGTTAAGTCTTGCATCACTAAGTAGTGGTAAATGCAACCAGCATATCTTCATTTTCTGCAGGTGTTAAAATTTCTAATGCACCTTATCAGACTAGTGCCACTTTCAGTATTGTACAGATTATTCTATATATTTACTAGCTGTGCTTCTGCCTCTCCAACAACCTAACAAACAAGTCTCTAACTCTATTTAGGAAGCATGCTTTTTATCATGCCAAAAACATCCTGCTTTGAAGGAATTATTGAGTAAGGCTAGAGTAGGAGATAAAATTGGCATAGGAACGTATTGATACTTGTCTCCAACTTGTATATATTTTATGCACTTTGATAAAGTATGAGTAACAATGCATTATTCATTTAGAAATATGTAACCCCATCAGAACAAAAATTAAGGGAACTGTAGGGCAGATCCTGTTATGCAATAGCTTACATATTGACCCTTTTTATTCTTTTTTTTTTAGAACATGCAGATCTTTGTGAAAACACTCACTGGGAAGACCATTACATTGGAGGTTGAGCCCAGTGACACTATTGAGAACGTGAAGGCAAAGATCCAAGACAAAGAGGGCATCCCACCTGACCAGCAGAGGTTGATCTTTGCTGGAAAGCAGCTGGAAGATGGCCGCACGCTTTCAGACTATAATATTCAGAAAGAATCCACTCTGCACTTGGTTCTCCGTCTGCGAGGTGGTATGCAGATCTTTGTGAAGACACTCACTGGGAAGACCATTACATTGGAGGTTGAGCCCAGTGACACTATTGAGAACGTGAAGGCAAAGATCCAAGACAAAGAGGGCATCCCACCTGACCAGCAGAGGTTGATCTTTGCTGGAAAGCAGCTGGAAGATGGCCGCACGCTTTCAGACTATAATATTCAGAAAGAATCCACTCTGCACTTGGTTCTCCGTCTGCGAGGTGGTATGCAGATCTTTGTGAAGACACTCACTGGGAAGACCATTACATTGGAGGTTGAGCCCAGTGACACTATTGAGAACGTGAAGGCAAAGATCCAAGACAAAGAGGGCATCCCACCTGACCAGCAGAGGTTGATCTTTGCTGGAAAGCAGCTGGAAGATGGCCGCACGCTTTCAGACTATAATATTCAGAAAGAATCCACTCTGCACTTGGTTCTCCGTCTGCGAGGTGGTATGCAGATCTTTGTGAAGACACTCACTGGGAAGACAATTACATTAGAGGTTGAGCCCAGTGACACTATTGAGAACGTGAAGGCAAAGATCCAAGACAAAGAAGGCATCCCACCTGACCAGCAGAGGTTGATCTTTGCTGGAAAGCAGCTGGAAGATGGCCGCACGCTTTCAGACTATAATATTCAGAAAGAATCCACTCTGCACTTGGTTCTCCGTCTGCGAGGTGGTATGCAGATCTTTGTGAAGACACTCACTGGGAAGACCATTACATTGGAGGTTGAGCCCAGTGACACTATTGAGAACGTGAAGGCAAAGATCCAAGACAAAGAAGGCATCCCACCTGACCAGCAGAGGTTGATCTTTGCTGGAAAGCAGCTGGAAGATGGCCGCACGCTTTCAGACTATAATATTCAGAAAGAATCCACTCTGCACTTGGTTCTCCGTCTGCGAGGTGGTATGCAGATCTTTGTGAAGACACTCACTGGGAAGACCATTACATTGGAGGTTGAACCCAGTGACACTATTGAGAACGTGAAGGCAAAGATCCAAGACAAAGAGGGCATCCCACCTGACCAGCAGAGGTTGATCTTTGCTGGAAAGCAGCTGGAAGATGGCCGCACGCTTTCAGACTATAATATTCAGAAAGAATCCACTCTGCACTTGGTTCTCCGTCTGCGAGGTGGTATGCAGATCTTTGTGAAGACACTCACTGGGAAGACAATTACATTAGAGGTTGAGCCCAGTGACACTATTGAGAACGTGAAGGCAAAGATCCAAGACAAAGAAGGCATCCCACCTGACCAGCAGAGGTTGATCTTTGCTGGAAAGCAGCTGGAAGATGGCCGCACACTCTCTGACTACAACATTCAAAAAGAGTCTACACTCCACCTTGTTTTGCGCTTGAGAGGTGGCATCTAAGACAATCACTCTGCATCTGTTCTGCAAGCATTTTAGTTGATGCTTTTTGTTGCACTTTCAATAAAGCTATTGCATTCCAAAGTTTTGTCTGTTTATAATTTATTTTTTTTAGGCATATTACATTGATCTTTTTATCTTGGTGGGTTTTGTAATATGTAAATAGACTGTGTCCTTGCAAGGTTCGCTTGTTAAACTTTTGCATTGTAGCCAAAAAATACAAATGGCTAAATAGTTGGGATGTGACTTCAGTTGTGTTGGAGGAAATTTCAGCTGTTGCCTACACCTAACAGTCCAACTGCACACTTCTCCCACTTAGTGTGTAAATAACTTTGTGCAGTGTCTGCCACACCTCTCCTGCATGTGACCTACATTTTTCCTACTAACTTCCTGTGAAGAGATCTGAAACTACAGGCACATCCTGCAGTTTGACTTCTTGAAACATGCAATGCATTAACGTCCACTGACTTAAACACCTTGCAGGAAAGCATGGAGTTAAAGGGTCACTATAGACACCAGAACTACAGCTTACTGTAGTTCTGGTGAGTAAAAGTCCCTGCAGACTTTATGCAGTAAACAGTCTTAGAGAAAAGGCAGTGTTGACATTAGTTTGGGGACTGACACCTACAGTGGCCACTGTAGGTACTCTGCATGGAGACACTGATCTTGACTCATGAGATGCATTGATTCAATGCATCTAAGGGAATGCTGGTTGGCTATGCCTCCATCTCCTTGGATCATCAGAATTGACAAAGCCAATCCAATGTTCCCCCTATGGAAAAGCATTGATTGGCTGAGATCACTTCTGATTCTAACCAATGAAGCAGAGCCAGGGTGTGCGCATTGTGTTCTATCAGCTGACACCGTAGGAGCCTGGCAAAACACTAGTGGAGTGGTTTTTCAGGGTTTTTTTTTTTTTTATATAAAAGGTTCTTTAAACCTTTTACATGGCTGGCTGGAGCAGAGGTACATATACTACTAAGAATACAGCTTTGTATTAACAAAATAAATTAAAGTTAGTTAAATAGTGAATCTGGGCATAATTTGAGGGTAATCACATACAACTTAAAGAAAGATGTAATTCTTAAACCCTTTCTCTAATAGGTAGCCCTTTCTTTTTCAAGTGACCAAAAGTAACTGGACAATTAACAAAAGTAGTTTCATGAACAGGAGTGGGCTATTCATTAAGCAATAACAAAGTATGGAGTTGATTCCAGCTGTTATTTACATTTGGAAGCTGTTGATGTAAACCTCCACAGCATGCTGTTAAATGAGCTCTTAATGCAAGTAACAGGCTATCCTTAAGCAGGAAACTTATGAGAAACACACTGGTGAGCTCTCCAACACAAAGGCCTGGATGTCCATGGAAAACTGTAGCGCATTTTGATATTACAGAAGTAGCCAGATGAATTCTTTACTGTATAGGGATTTGTATGTTCAGACTACTGTTGGCTGTATCCTCTTACACTATATAACATTTGCTATTGGTTCGCCTACTTTGACCAATATTCACAAAGGAGATGGCCCTATCCATTTAAATGTTTAGAGGGGTAAAGAAAATCCTAAAACGGGCAATCTAATATATTCTAAACCTTTTTAAAGGTACACCCTACCCTCTTGACTGTTCTAAGTCCTTCAATACCAAAATCATTTAGCTCTGATGAAGATTTGCTGTGCTTTATGGTCCAAAGCGTTAAGAGTTGGAACTACAATTAAAGAACCACCTTTAAGGACACTGCTGCTGCACAGACCCATGGGGAGATATAAAGATTTCCCTGATCAGTTCTCTGCTTGTTTAGGATAGCATGAGCAGTTTGTCTGTACCTTCACCTGGTGTGGATCACTGCTGATGCTTCCTCATGGTCGCAAAGGCGTGTTTACAGCTATCTACTCCACAGAAGAATTGCAGCATCTCATCGGACCATTATGTGCAGCTTTCAAGCATCACAAGGGAACATGGCAAAAAATAGCTGCACAGGAAGGTAGTGCCACACTATGTATCACAAACAAATTTATATGGATCCAAAAAAAGTGCAATCCAGATTGGGTATATTTACCTTATAATGCATATGACCACACATTTAATATAAATTGAAAAGAAAGAGGGGGGCGAAAAAACAAGGGCATCTTTAGTGTAAATATTAAAAACAAAGCAAAGGACAGATACTCACACTAGCTCAATACAAATTGTACTGAAATGGCTTTGCCCTTTTACAAAATGAATATGGGCACTCTGGTTGTCTTGGTGACAAAAAAAAAAATTAACTTACATTTTATGAAAAGGCCTTAACATTTCAGACTGCCATTGGTCCAATTTGTTTACAGCAAATATTGAAGCACCAGGGCAATTAACCCTTTAAGGACCAAACTTCTGGAATAATGACATGTCACGTCCTTAAGGGGATAAACATTATGGTGAAGGTGAGTGCTATCACATCCTACTGATCTGCCCAACATTAAAGCCACTGATAGGTGAAGTGAATAACATTGATTGTATTGTTACAATTGCACTTGTCAAGGGGTGTGGGATGTTAGACAACACGTTAATAATCAGTTCTTAAGTTTCATGTGTTGGCAGCAGAAAAAATGGGCAAACAAAACAAATCTGAGTGACGTGGCACAGCCAAACGGTTGGATTCTTCCTCAGTCCAACCAGAAGTGTATATATATGGCAGAGGGATCTAGTGTTTTGTGAAAGTAGAAGCCAGATTTTCAGGTATTGAAACCTCAATCAATCTATCTCTCTATATCTATATAAATGAAACCAATGAGGGCTAGGGCTGCACTCACCAAAACATGCATATATTATAGGGTGCTGCTGGGGCCAATATATAAAAAATACACAATCCAGTGCACTTGCTTATTCACTTAACAATGTTTATAGATTTATGTAAAAACACCTCACCTAGTTAAAAAATAATGGGGGTTTAGTTACATTATATGATCATATATTGCATAAGCCTAATGCCTGCTCTTATGAGATTATTCCACTTACTTGAGCTATTCTTCCTCCTTGGACTGCAGGTCAAGGCTAAATAGGAGCCTGGAATGAGGCACCTGTGACAGGGAGGGGTGCAAAACCAAGGGTTTGACTTGGACTCCCATATATTGGAAGGCTTGGCCTGAAGTTGTGGGAGGGGCTCCCTCCCTTCCCTACATTGCAGTGATTGGTTCCAGATGTACTGCTGGTCGTATCAGCACTTCCGGGTAACCAGCGTGAGAGTAGCATCAGCAGTGAAATCCTTCGGTCTAAATCGTACTGTCTCCATATCCCTCTAACACAGGAGTTCTCAACCCAGTCCTCAGGACCCCCTACCAGTCCAGGATTTGGGGATTACCTGGGTGTGTCTCAGGTGTTTAGAAAAAGGGAATGTAACGGAGCTCCTTGTACTCCGACTGAGTACCCTCCGTTGACGGATGCTCCTAGCACTTCCTGTGGACTCCAAGCGCTGCAGCAGACACCACAACCACCACAGACTCCGCAACCGCCGTATCTTGACTGGAGTCTCGCCGTCTTCCTTCCACCCTGGATCAGCTTCTGTCCTCCAGGACTGTGTGTGAAAGAACTCTTCCTTCCACCCTGTATGAACCTCTAGCATGCAGGACTGTGTGGTGAAGACCCCTCCTCCAAGGAGAGCGTGTTAGGAACAAGCTCTTAAAAGAGCTAAGTGACTCAAGCTCAGGGGAGCATACAGAGCATAGCAATCCCCAGTATGATTATAACAGCTCCCTCCAATAACGCGACAAGGCTACATTTAGAGGGATCAAGAAGAACTGTCAAAACCTTTATTTCCCTTGGGACCAGCCAATAGGGTCACCACAAAAACATTGTTGTGAAACCTCAATAAAATCACAAACAGTCAAACCATATCAAGCAACACACAGTGACTTATCACAACACAATGGCACATTTTTAAAGGGGTGGGGGAGACAATATTTAACAGTAAATATCTCACCTGCCTGCAGAATTAGCAATATGCAAATCTACCCGAATATGCAAATAAACCAGTCTTGCAATTCAGGTAGTGGATATTGCTGTTGCTACCAACAGAGGGCACCAGACAAGCTCCATAGCCAAACCCACCTAGTTGGTAGCAAGCAAACCTCAGCAATACAAGAGAGCAGGCAATACATTACACAGTACACACACACACACCCTGCACCTATAATGGGTACAGGGTGACTAAAACATAAGATAAATAAAGCAGCCTACATAAATAGTCTGTCTGAAGGTAGACTAGGGGCTTTAAAGCCAGATACATGAAAGAGTCATAGTCACAGGGGAGGAGGCTGGCAAGTAGGCCTCTCCACGACCAAGTGGTGAAGGGCACTTCGTCACAGGGAAAAAAACACCTTAGACTCTAAGGTGTTTTTTTTTTCTAAACACCTTAGTCCCCAGCACCAATTAGTGTGTAAATCATGAGTATTACGGCATATTCCCCGGCACGCTAAAAACCCCCTCCCCTCTCAAACTCACCAGGGTCATGGAGGGTAGAGGCATTCCAGACAGGAACGCCCCAGCCCCTGCCTAGTAGCATGCCGCATTCGACACGGCTCAGTTAGGCTTCCTCCACAGGCAGTTGCGGCTAGAGCTGTCTCACACAAACGTTGCCTGCATCGTTTCGTCAGGCCAGCAGGGGGTCATAGAGGCACACAGGTAGTGCCACTCTCATCCACACGAAGCTGCACTGAGTGAATCATACTTAACCCCTTAAGGACCAAAATTTTGGAATAAAAGGGAATCATGACATGTCACACGTCATGTGTTCTTAAGGGGTTAAAGGGACACTCCAGGCACCCAGACCACTCCTGCCCATTGGAGTGGTCTGGGTGCCAACTCACACTACCCTTAACCCCTTAAGGACTGAGCCAAATGCACACGTTGTGAACAAAACAAAATGTAAACAAAACAAAAATGAAAAGAATGGGAGAAAATGAGATTTTTTTAAATTTTTTTAGTTCTACATTACATTTCAACTGTCAGTGTCATAATACTGTTTGCTTTTACTGCAATAAAATACATATATTTGTATTCAGCAAAGTCTCACGTGTAAAACAGTACCCTCTATGTACAGGTTTTATGGCGTTTTGGGAAGTTACAGGGTCAAATATAGCACGTTACATTTGAAATTGAAATTCGCCAGATTGGTTACGTTGCCTTTGGGACTTTATAGTAGCCCAGGAATGAAATTTACACCCATAATGGCATATCATTTGCAATAGTAGACAACCCAAGGTATTGCAAATGGGGTATGTCCAGTCTTTTTTAGTAGCCATTTGGTCACAAACACTGGCCAAAGTTAGCGTTAGTATTTGTTTGTGTGTGAAAAATGCAAAAAACGCCAATTTTGGCCAGTGTTTGTGACTAAGTGGCTACTAAAAAAGACTGGACATACCCTGTTTGCAATACCTTGGGTTGTCTACTATTGCAAATGGTATGCCATCATAGGGGTAATTTTCATTCTTGGGCTACCATAGGGTCTCAAAGGCAACGTAACCAATCTGGCGAATTTTAATGTGAAAAAAATGAAACACAAGTCTTATATTTGACGCTGTAACATTTGAAAACACCATAAAACCTGTACATGAGGGGTACTGTTGTACTCAGGAGACTTCGCTGAACACAAATATTTGTGTTTCAAAACAGTAAAAAGTATTGCAGCAATAATATCGTCCGTGTAAGTGCTGTTTGTGCGTGACAAATGCAAAAAATTTCACTTTTACTGGCGATATCATCATTGTAATACATTTTACTGTTTTGAAACACTAATATTTGTGTTCAACGAAGTCTCCCGAGTAGAACAGTACGCCCCATGTACAGGTTTTATGGTGTCTTGGAAAGTTATAGGGTTAAATATAGTGCTAGCAAATTAAATTCCCTTTACTTTTGGCATGGGTTGTCAGGCAGGTCTCGCTAATTGTAATTAATTAAGATACCTAATTATGTAAAAATATTGCATAAATATATATGTAGAATTAATATATGTATATATATATGTATGTGTATATATATATATGAATATATATATATATATATATATATATATATAATTTTTAAAAAATATTTTTATTTATATATAGGTATATATATATAGTGATATATACGTATATATTTATGTACATAGATATATATATTATTTTGTTCTACGTGTATTTTGATATATATATATATTAATATCACAATACAGTTAAAACGAAATAACACATCTATATATTTTTAATTATTTTTAAAATTTTATTTTTTAACGTATTTACATATTTTTTTATATTATATATAAATATATATATAACAATAATTAAATATATATTTAATCAGTATCAGTCTACGTGTAATTTGATATTAATATATATATATAATTATATATATTCATAGTAAAATACACCTAGACAGTGTATGTGTGTGTATGTATATGTGTATATATATATATATATACTTAGATCATATATATATATAATATAAATATATGATCAAAGTATATAATTGGTTTTTTTTACACTTATTTTAACATTATTTTATTTACATTCAGCCAGCAGGGGGACTAACTGTCATTACAGGCAGTCCCCCTGCTGGCAATGCAGCAGCCAGCTAACCCGGCCATGTAAATGTGAGGTCCTCGCAAGGACCTCACTCTCACATGGCCAGGGGGGGCCTGCAGGAGGTCGGATGTGCCGCGGGGGGCTCCCTGGGAGTCCCCCCAACCGCGATCGCCGGCGTGGGATCGCCGGCGACCGGGTAAGTAAAAAAAAAAACGGAGGGTGTACTATTAGAGCCGCCTAAAATACGGCGTAATAGTACGCCCTCCGGTCTTAAGGGGTTAACCCTGCAACTGTAATTATTGCAGTTTTTTTAAACTGCAATAATTACCTTGCAAGGTTAACTCCTCCTCTAGTGGCTGTCTACTAGACAGCCACTAGAGGGCACTTCCGGGATCATAGCACAGATTATCTGTGCTATAACATCGCTGGACGTCCTCACGCTGTGTGAGGACCTCCAGCGTCGCTAAAATCCCCATAGGAAAGCGTTTTTAATGCTTTCCTATGGAGAGGTCTAATGCGCTTGCGCAGCACTGCCACGCATGCGCATTTGGTCTCCCCAGCCAGCGGGCGTGATCAGCTCCTCTCTTCTATGTGGGTACACCGAACACAGCACATCCCTGTAAATCCCAAAATCAATCACAAAGTCAGGGATAGATAGTTTTTTTGCTGAGTCTCGGGTGTCTACCCTTCAGGACCACCGAGATGTTGCCGTATGAGTAGGAGCAATTGTCTACGACATCCTGGGAGACTATATACTTGGCTTTCTACAGCTTTCTCAGACCACGAGAATTCACTATCAGGGGACAACACAATGGTCAAAGTTGCCTTCGCACCTCATACCTTAACAAACAACAAGACCATTACGTTCTGAGCCTACCCACCACTAAGACTAGTCAGATGGGTCAACCTGTTCTTATCCATTACTACCCCACTGGCAATTTGTGGTGTCCAGTGAAAGTTTTTGACGCATACCTACTTTCTGTACCCACTCACGCTTCACTCCCTCTCCTGTTACTTCACGGGGCTACCCTCACCACGTCTAAATTTATGGTGTATATACGACTATTGTTGACACAACTCGGCTTAAACGCCAACAAATATTCTGGACACTCATTTAGGATAGCATCTACTGCCTCAAGCCAAGACATTCCAGTACATGTTATCAAAACCTTTGGCCGCTTATTCAGTTTATATACCCCAACCAATACAGGAAATAGGAAGGGCATTTCAAAAGAGAACCCGAATTATGTCCTTCTGCTACTCCAAAAATGGAATTTTCTACAGTTAATTATGACCATATGCTCAAGACCACAGATGAGGTAAATGACACTGAGGTAGTAACTAACCTTGTATCTTCATCCATTAAGGAAGTGCAAAGTCCAGTTAGTAATGAAGGTTCCTCACTCAGAGAACCACCTAAACCTTAGAAAGTATTAAAAGAAGACTTGCCTTCAGTTGAGAGTTATATGTCAATTAAAAAACTACCTCCAGCTGAGCTCACAAATGATGAAGAGAATGATTTAAGTGACCAGGTATCTCTATCCGCTAAGGAGGACCTGTATCCACTTGAGCAAGAATCATCCCTACTCCCGGAAACCTCATGTTCCGAGAAATTACGGGAACCATCCCTTAATACATTCCTGCATCTTGGAGAGGAAGGTTCGCAAAGTACTCCTGATCCTGTGCTCGTTAATCTAGGGGATTCTCCTCGATTGATTCCAGTGGTAACAACCCAAGATAACTCAGAAACTGTTTGCCCCTCTACAGAAGTCGTATCACAGTCTTTATTCCAAGGATCATACAAGTCAGAAACCAAGTCAGACCCAGGAGTAACGCATCTGTATCCAGCAAAAGCTCTATGGCTAGTAGGATGGTACGTTTGTTGGTCACTGGTAATAAGTGTTCCTCATCGTATGTGCCTTTAATTTCTGTTTCTGTGTCTGCCCTTCCAATGTTCAATGTTAGTCTACAGTCCTTGCTTTTGTATGTTTCTATCCTGCCTCGTTGGTTTCTCCCATGGGATTCTCTACCTCTCATTCCTCCTGAACCTTCTCCTTGTTTTCCTCTACTGGTTGGGTGACCCTGATATTCTTCTGTCACCTGTGGGGGCTCTTGGGGGTTTTGAGCGCCAGGAGTCGCTCCTTAAGGGGGGTACTGTCACTACACACTCCTTAGTTGATATGCCTTCGTGCAGTACACACACTCACCACTATCATTGTTTGGCACTGTTCCTAATTTCTTTTCATTAGCACTTCACCGGGTCCTTGTTTAGCACCTTTATAGTTTGGTTCCTCCCCTCACTCCTGGTCAGATCATTGTCTCTTGTCTCCTGTTTCTTTTTCCATGGTTCTTGTTTCCTGGTTCCTGAGATTCTGACTCTTCGCTCCTTGATCCTGTGTCCTGCATTTCCTGATCCTATGTTCGTGTGTCTTCTTTGTCTTGTGTTTCCGTGTCCTCTTGGTCCTGCGGTCCCATGTCCTCCGGGGTCCTGCGTTCCTGTGCCTCTTGATCCTGTATTCTGATTCAGTGTTCCTGCCTCTACCTTATTTCCAGTGATTCTGACCCTGCTGCCTTATTTCATTTGACCTGTTTTGGACTTTGTTCCCTGGTGTCATATATTTTGCTTTGTGGCTTATGAACTGTGTCCCACCTATTTCTAGTGGTGGCTGCACAATCCTGCCCAAGTACTTAACTTACCAAAGGACTGTTTAAGTATACTCTGCCTGCACTAATTGTGGTTATCTTGATTTTTTTGTATATATTATTCTTTGGCATTGTATATATTATATGTTTTGTTCTTATATCCTTTGGTTCTCTTTAATATATATATTTCTTGATTTAATCCATTCATTGTGTCTTTGCATTATTTCTTTGCTAAATTGGTTCCCACATTTAAAGGGATAGTGCTGTCTGAGGGCAGCACCCCTTAATGTCATTACATCATGTGGTTTCATAATAAATATCTTTTGAGCAAGATTGGTACTCCTTTTGCCCACTTTATTTACAGACCTACCACATACGTCGGTATCGGCACACCTTAACCGACTTTGCTTATTAAAGGTAGATGACTTTATCTCTATTCATTTCATTACTGACATAGCCCCGAACACAAATTGGAAGGCTTGGCCTGAAGTTGTGGGAGGGGCTATGTGCCTTTAAAAGGGACTCCTCCCCTTCCCTACATTACCGTGATTGGTTCCAGACGTACTGCTGGCCCACCCTCCACTCCCTCTATTCAACTTTATCTAAGGTAGGCCCACTTTATTAACAGGCCTACCACATACGTCGGTATCGGCACACTTTAACTGACTTTGATTATTAAAGACAGATTACTTTATCTCTATTCATTTCATTACTGAAATAGCCCCGAACACATATATAGCAAAAATTACATATAAGGTGCACTCTCAGGTCTTAACAAGTGGTTAAGTTATTCTAAATGCAAGTTACATGTGCAAAAAAAAATATTACAGTGATCGACGTTTCTCCTTTTTCAAGATAAATAATACCATGTATCTAGTGGATATATATAGATAAATATTGATCAAAACTTACCAAAAGATGTGTGTGATAGAGTCACTAGCCCTCCGAAACCCGCAAGTGAAGCGGTGTAACCACGTGACCAACGTGATGACGCGTGAAACTACGACGTTGCTAAGCAATGAAACCAAACAAAACGTGTACTTCAAATTATGCCCAGCTATACCAAGACAAAAGAATAAACCTAATGTAAAATGATCACGCTATATAGTGATCAATACAAAGTTCATGCTATGGAGGATAGAATACAAGACTATTAGTATTGCACCCACACTATAGAGGACAGAAATGTGTGAAAATATGTGAAAACAGTGTAACCTCCGTGGAGCAATTAAAGTGACCACACATGCATGCATTTTGAACAACATATGTGCTCCTCCAAAAAGTGTGCTGCATAACTTTCCAGTGCATATTAATATTCATAATGCTGTGTGTGTACATGCACATCTTTGCATGTCACACAGAAAATACCAAACAAATAAATCAATAATATATGTAAACAATATACACCCTGACAGTACAATCTGCAGATAACAAAAACCAAACAACAAAAAAACGTAAACAAAGTTACAATTCATATGTAGCACCGGACAATTAGAATCATGCTAATATCATAAACCCCATTCAATAATGGGTGTAATTAGAATTATTCATCAACAAAAATTATACCCAGTGCACAAGCAAGATTTGCGACAAGTCAAAAAAATATACTACTATATTCAGGAAGATACATCCATTATACTTATAACTAAAAAGACATCATGCTATATCCTACTAACAAAAACTTGCATGTCTTAAGCAAATGACAGGTCATACAGGGAGTGCAGAATTATTAGGCAAATGAGTATTTTGACCACATCATCCTCTTTATGCATGTTGTCTTACTCCAAGCTGTATAGGCTCGAAAGCCTACTACCAATTAAGCATATTAGGTGATGTGCATCTCTGTAATGAGAAGGGGTGTGGTCTAATGACATCAACACCCTATATCAGGTGTGCATAATTATTAGGCAACTTCCTTTCCTTTGGCAAAATGGGTCAAAAGAAGGACTTGACAGGCTCAGAAAAGTCAAAAATAGTGAGATATCTTGCAGAGGGATGCAGCACTCTTAAAATTGCAAAGCTTCTGAAGCGTGATCATCGAACAATCAAGCGTTTCATTCAAAATAGTCAACAGGGTCGCAAGAAGCGTGTGGAAAAACCAAGGCGCAAAATAACTGCCCATGAACTGAGAAAAGTCAAGCGTGCAGCTGCCACGATGCCACTTGCCACCAGTTTGGCCATATTTCAGAGCTGCAACATCACTGGAGTGCCCAAAAGCACAAGGTGTGCAATACTCAGAGACATGGCCAAGGTAAGAAAGGCTGAAAGACGACCACCACTGAACAAGACACACAAGCTGAAACGTCAAGACTGGGCCAAGAAATATCTCAAGACTGATTTTTCTAAGGTTTTATGGACTGATGAAATGAGAGTGAGTCTTGATGGGCCAGATGGATGGGCCCGTGGCTGGATTGGTAAAGGGCAGAGAGCTCCAGTCCGACTCAGACGCCAGCAAGGTGGAGGTGGAGTACTGGTTTGGGCTGGTATCATTAAAGATGAGCTTGTGGGGCCTTTTCGGGTTGAGGATGGAGTCAAGCTCAACTCCCAGTCCTACTGCCAGTTCCTGGAAGACACCTTCTTCAAGCAGTGGTACAGGAAGAAGTCTGCATCCTTCAAGAAAAACATGATTTTCATGCAGGACAATGCTCCATCACACGCGTCCAAGTACTCCACAGCGTGGCTGGCAAGAAAGGGTATAAAAGAAGAAAATCTAATGACATGGCCTCCTTGTTCACCTGATCTGAACCCCATTGAGAACCTGTGGTCCATCATCAAATGTGAGATTTACAAGGAGGGAAAACAGTACACCTCTCTGAACAGTGTCTGGGAGGCTGTGGTTGCTGCTGCACGCAATGTTGATGGTGAACAGATCAAAACACTGACAGAATCCATGGATGGCAGGCTTTTGAGTGTCCTTGCAAAGAAAGGTGGCTATATTGGTCACTGATTTGTTTTTGTTTTGTTTTTGAATGTCAGAAATGTATATTTGTGAATGTTGAGATGTTATATTGGTTTCACTGGTAATAATAAATAATTGAAATGGGTATATATTTGTTTTTTGTTAAGTTGCCTAATAATTATGCACAGTAATAGTCACCTGCACACACAGATATCCCCCTAACATAGCTATAACTAAAAACAAACTAAAAACTACTTCCAAAAATATTCAGCTTTGATATTAATGAGTTTTTTGGGTTCATTGAGAACATGGTTGTTGTTCAATAATAAAATTAATCCTCAAAAATACAACTTGCCTAATAATTCTGCACTCCCTGTATATCCCATATATATGTACCCATAGAATGTAAGATGATACTATAAATTGCAGTAAATTGCACCGACTATAGAGAATGACTCTGCAGTGAAATATATTCCATAAATCACAGAAACATAGAATAGGTGTTATATTCATTTAGGCCTTTAGGCATAACTGTGTCCAGTTTAAAAATCCAATATGCTTCCC